CACATTAAATTTATAAAAAAAATGATTAAAAAGACGACATATAATCTGTTAAAACAAACTATACATTAAATTTGAAACTATAAAATGTAGCAAAATACAAATATTGAAAAAACAGGAAAAAAATTGCTCTCAAAACCTTTTTTCTTTTATTTATTAAAACATTAAAAAAATGTAATTTCTTCATTGCTATTTATTTAAATTTCCATTTACAAATCAATTGATTTGTACCATCCGATGACGACGGTTCATATGCTTAGCTTTTATTTCATAAGGCTTCATATTTAATGCCATCATTTGATGAAGATTTTCTAGAAAAGTGTTAACTGTTGGGTTTAATTCTTCCCATTAGGTGGCTGAGAGCCACTTTACTAATATGCTTTTGTTTTCTAATGTAGAGCTGGCATTGCTGATATAAGCTCTCTGTAGTTCTGCCTTTTTTAAACAGTTTCTTGCTTTTGCCTTCTTCCTTGGTGGCGCTATTAACCAAACCAATCACTTCTCTCTTCCAAATGTCACTGATTAATGTGCGTTTCATTGAACAGTGCTTCTGTTTTTCAAAGTGTTTAATTCTAATTTGGCTCATCCAGGTCAAAGATGGCAAATTGATAGATGAGATGGCAGTCAGCATCACTGGGCTGGCAAACAAGGTAGGATGGGCAGACATCTGCCTCGCTGTATGGCTGTAAAACCCGCCTCCTGATGGCCCACGCCCAGCAAGTCTTTGTAGTGATGTTAGAGACAGGAGGCCGGTTTTACAGTCACCATATAAGCCTGAACAATTCTAATTAAATGTGGTATTTTTTTTTATTGCTGCCATGTATATTCTGGTGGTGAGTACACTGTAGAAAATAACTTGATCCTGTTATGTTTGAAAATATTTGAAAAAATTAAATATAAAAAACTTTAAATGCTAAACTACAGAAGAGGATTTGGGCCACTGGAAAAAAAAAAGTTACCTGATTTAAAATATTATTTCAGTTTAATATGGGAAAAAAGTCAGAATTCTGACTTTAATGTCAAAATTCTTTTTTCTCAGAATTCTGAGTGAATTCTGACAGCTAACAAACATGTTAGCATCAAGCCATAGCCATGTCTGTTTTAGAGACTAAACTGGCTCTCTTGTTTTTTATCACCTTTGCTCTTCCATTAATGAATAGCATCACCGGGGACCCGCTGAAAAGTCCGAATTCTGAGATTGAAGCCAGAATTCGGAATTTTTCCCCATATTAAACTGAAATAATATTTAGAAATCAATTAACTTTTTTATTTTTTAGGTGGCCCTAATCCTCTTCCATAATAAACAGTTTTAATAATAACTTGAATGTTTTTTTTTATTCCATTAATATTAATTTTCTTTAACATCCTTGTCGTGTTGTTTAAAAAGTTGTTCTTTCATTCTTTCAGGTTCAGGGAGCCGGCGCAAAACTGACAAACCTGTTTACTGGAAAACCGCAAGATGGGTAATTAACTGCAGTTTTCTTTACTCTTTATAAAGGTCAATATTAATCAGTTAAAATATATCAAAGAAGTACATTTATTTTAAATGACAAAAGTATAACTGATTAATTACAGTGATGTGTTCATGTTGAAGTGAGTTCAGTATAATGCTGAGTGAAGAACATGAAGAAATGCTCTTTAGGAGCAACAGAAGCGACAGATCTGCGCCGTCGCTCCTCCTCTGTGTTGGAGGCTCGCTGACACTCCGCCCATATTGCGGCCCCTCAGCCAATCAGAGCTTAATTCTCTGTTGTAAAAATTAGGGCCACCACACAGAAGGGAAGAGACAGTTGCCAGAAGTAGGAACTTTTTCACACAAAGTTTACAGTAGAGTCCTGCAACAAGGTCATGAAAAAACTGAATCCCTCAAGGGTAGAGGTAGTGAAACATCTACATATTTAATAATAAAGATGAGATAATTGAACTTTATTGATCTCACATTGGAGAAATTTACCTCTACTTTTACCCCATCCCATTGGGGAGCAGTCTGTCATTGTGGGGCACTCAGGGAGCAATCAGGGTTTAAGGGTCTTGCTCAGAGAGCCAGAGTGACAGTCTGTGGGAATGGGGCTCGAACTCAGAACCTCAGGATTCTAAGCTCTATGCCCTAACCACTAGGCTGCCACTCCAGCGAAGTGGAATCACAATAAAATCACAATATTTTATTGTGATTCCAATAGGGATGGAACGGTTTATGAAAACTGTCCGAACCGTTCGGTTCGGGTGTGTTGCGTTCGGTTCATGCGTTGCTCCATTTCCTCATAGGGGAAGCGTTTACACTCCAGAGCAGAAGGTGGCGGTACTGCGACCAAAGCCAACCACCAGTAGTAAACAAGAAGAAGAAGAAGAAGCAAGCAGCATAGCCGGGTGTAGCAGAAAAAATTCAGTTGTTGTGGAGAATTGTGTGGGTATGGCGAGTGGGAAAGAACAGGAGTTGGAAGACGCGCCAGCAGCACTTTATAGGTCTGCTGTATGGGACCACTTTGCATTTAGAGTGACCTACGATGACGGCGGAAAGAAAGTTGTGGATAAAAGTGCAACAGTGTGCAAGCATTGTGTAACATGTTTTGTTTATGCTAACAGCAACACGGCCAACATGTCATGCTAACCCTGAAATCCCACATACTCCGTCAGCAACCCCCGCTCCACCCCGCTGCGCTCCAGACGGCTGCACAAAGCAAAGCCTACAGCCTCCGCTGTGGCTCCCGTCCGCTCCGCTCTGAGTTCCTTGGAGATCGTAGAGGGCATGCGCCAGATGATTAAATTCAAAGCAGCAAAACATGCGGAAATGATCCATGGTTTCCGCGAATCATTAAAAATAATTACAATTCATACATTTTTGGGGATTTTTTCATTAATTTCATGAATTTTTATGGGATTTCGTTGTAACAATCAACATATACCGAACCGAACCGAAAACCGTGACCACGAAACCGTGAACCGAACCGTGAATTTTGTAAACCGTTCCACCACTAGATTCTAAAGTAGTCACAATTTAGATTTTTGCTAAAATAGTTCAGCCTTAGTAAAAATCTTTCTCTGACCCAGAAGGATTTGGCTCATAAAAAGTTTCCTTGATTGAGTCGTAGTAATTTTGGATGGAAAGTAGGGCTGAAATAATTAATCTATTACTGAAATAATCGTCTTTCTATCTCCCATATTTCTAATCTGACGGTTACACTGAGCTGCTTAGACTCAGTCGAGTTGTTTGTCCTTATCGCAGTTCGGTTCAGTTCAATATTTTTTTTTGACTGACTGTTATCCTTTTAACGTTTTAAAGTATTGCAATACTAAGCCTATACTTTAATCATAAAGTATGTGTAGCTGTGATAAGGCTGAAAAATTAATCAGATTAATCGATTATTGACATAATTGTCAACTAATTTAGTAATCGATTAATCGTTAACTGGAGTGTAGACTCTAAAACATGCTTTTTGCTGAATGAGCAACCTACCTTGAGCAGCAATTGTACCAAATTTGTAAAAAAAAAAAAAAAAATGTAAAAATTTTGCATTAAAATAAAAATAAAAAAAACATTTTTTCTTCTGTGAATCTGCTCTATCCAGAGTTCCTCAAGTGGAAAAGTTTTAGTTTCACCTGGTTTAATTTAGGAAAAAAATGTTTTCTTTAAGGAACCTTTTCCTATCCGATTCTTAATCGATTTACAAAATCGTTGCAGAGACTCTAAAACCTTCCTTTAGCTGACAGTAATTCTAATTATATATATAATTATACCAAGATTGTAAAAAGAAATATATGAACATTATGTCTGTCAAGATGCTCTATCCAGAACTCCAGTGGAAAAGTTTTAGTTTTAGCTGGTTTAACTTTGCATAATGTCTTCTTTAAGGAACCTTTTGTTATCTGATAACTCATCGAAAAAATAATTGACAGATTAATCCATCTGCTAAATAATCATTAGTGCAGCCCTAACGGAGAGTAACCAATTACTCCTCACATACCAATATCACCTTATATTAGATTACTTTTTAATGAAAAATGGGTACTAACACCGTTACTCCCAACGCTGACAGTAATGATAGTTTCTATCACTTTTATGTTATATTTTTACTAAATTTCATTTTCCTCATCTGTAATTATCAATTTTAAGACTGCGTTGTGCAACAGAGGCAACATCTTTCCTGATTTATAAAATGACCAACTTTACTCCTCAAAACGGGAATTTTAAACATAATTTAAAGTTAGTTTCTTTCTGTGCTCAGCTCTGGAGGAGAGAGCTACCAGAACATGGACGCCACTGAGGGCTATCAGGGCAGCTCCAGCCAACCTGTGTCGAGGGATTTCTGGGAAACCTTTGGCAGCAACAGCTCCCTAAAAGAGAAGAAATCTCCCAGCAGTGACAGCTGGACCATGGCAGATAACTCTGCCAAAAAGAGCTCTGACAGTTGGGACAATTGGGGCTCCGAAGGAGCCTCCAACAACAAGCACAGCACAGAGGAGAGCTGGGAGGCCTGGGACAACAACTGGGAGAATCCGGATGGTAAGACGAAGAAGAGTCCTTCGAAGCCTGCAGAGGAAGCCTGGGATAACGCAGGCTGGTGAAACAAACATCACCTTAACTTTTGTTTTTTTGTTTTTTTTTTCCATCCTCTCCATCTTCTCCGGTTGCTCATCTCATTTTGCTCTTTCTGGAAGAGAGTTGGTTTCACTTAATGTCTATTTATGCATTCTGTATTAATTATAATTTACCCAGGAAAGAAATTATGAAAATTCAGAGATGAATAAATGAACACCTAAAGGAACTGTTTACTTCCAGAGCTCTATTTTAGTAGAAACTGGCCCCATCACAACCTCATCTGTTCATTGTAGATAAAATCATCACCCCCTGTAAGAATTACCCTCAGAATATAGATGTAAAGTAAAATAAAGTGCTGTGCCAACAACCATAGTTTGGCAAGGATGTTGTTATTCAACTCTGAAATTAATGCATGGAAGAAAAAATATGTTACTGTAAATATATCATAAAACTAACATTATTTTTCTTCTGTTTTGTAAACTTTAAACCAACTGATGCCCAATTAGACCTACAGTCATGCTGAGTGACGGCGAAGAGGCCACCATTTAAAGCCTTTGTTTCTCCAGCAGGAAACGATAAAAAAGGATTATTTTAAAATGAAGATGATCCAAACTAGTGTTGCTAGGTCACAAGAAAGATCTGAATCACACAGGTTTTAATATTTAAAATGGTTTCAAATGGGTGAATATTTTTTTTTTTTATTTCCTCGTTTATATCTCCCGATTCAACATAGCCTTTAGCTTGGTGAATCCATCGTTTCACAGCAGACAAATTATTCCTATTCTTATTTTTATAGTAACTGCGACTACACTTCAGTTAAAATTCTGATTTGGATCATTTATTTTTCTCGTCTTTTAAAGCTATGAAGTTGGGATTGGCATTTTAGTTTCGCCGGCACACACTCAGCTTTGCATTTTCCTATTTGTTCCAGATGGTTGACATTATATGGCAGCATCTTCTCATCTCTACCGCTGCTCTACACAAACCTTCACTATCTAGTAATCAAGTCTCATTGTTCATAATAACTTTTTTAAAATGAAGATTTTTGCATTGCAGGGAATCACTCTCAGTACTTTACATGTTGTGTTTCAATAACTGGAATAAATGTAGACTTCATTTTCCCTACAGTGGTGTCAAAGAAGCCAATCTGTGAGCCTTAGAGGGATCCACGATTAGTTATAAGACTTTAATATTAATTTTTTTTTAAATACAATACAGCAAAAACACTGTGAGCTCTTTAATTTGAATTAATTAAAAAAAAAATATTGTCACATGAACGTCGCCTTGTGGTTTATGCATTTAGCATTAGCTCCTTTTAGCCAAAACAGGCGTTACTAATCCAGATGGAGAGCTATATCACAAAGCGCTCCGGTTTCTTAAGGGCAGATTAGACTTCTGCAATGCACACATCAAATGTCACTTAGGTCTGGTTGCAAACTAGTTTTACTGGTATGCTTCTGCACCGTCAGTCTGGAATTTCTAGGGACGCACAGCAGTTTCCTGCCAAAGCGCAATTATTACCGATAATCGAGAACTTCGGCGGATTTGTTTCGGTAAAGACCGTAGCATCATTCTATAATTTGTCTGAGGCATCGTACCAGTGGTGATATTCTGAACCTCCTCGATGAACTTTTTGTCGTAGTTGTACATTGTGGTTTTTAAAAATGGCGCGCCCCAGCACCAAATCGACAAGGATGACTACACAGACAGCCGGAAAGGCATACCAAGGACCAATCACAGCTGCTTTCTGTCTGAGCACTTCCGCTTGAGGTCTGCGTGGGTTTGCAACCGTCCGACTCCTAGTCAGGATTTTTTTAAGGTGTGCTACTACAAAGCAGAACCTTTGCATGGGGGGCGTGGTCGCGCACAGAGACAGATTTGACGAGCGCAGAGGCTATTCGTCAGAAGCATAAATTGGCCTTAACTGAGCCTTCTATCTTTAACAGCGGTTAGCATCAGTACCAAACCACGTTCTCAGACTTATTAGATTAGATTTTGATTTCATGTTAGCCTCTGCTAATGGTGTTTGCTTTAACTAACATAGTAAACGGTTACAAATAGTGTAGCACCGATGCCGATTCCCGATACCTGGCTGTGCAGTATCGGCCGATACCGATACCATCTGTTTGAAATTGATGTGTGTGTATATATGAAGAACTGCAGACTACTTGGATGTAAAATAATTGCCATCATGGCTTTGTCAAGCTGCTGCCTACCTTTGTGAAGCAGGAAAAATACTAATACAAAGTGAATCCAGTAGAACTTTTTATTGCCTACCTGGAATGGGTAACAATAGTTGAATAAACTTTTGGCTCTCAAAATGGTATCAGTGCCCTATTTGTTGGTACTCGCCGATACCGATGCCACCATTTTAGTGCTGGATCGGGGCCCCGCCAGATACTGGTATCGGTATCAGTGCAACTGCATTGGATTGTTTCACCAGATATCTCGTGTATGACGGCTTGTGGAAACTTTGAGGCAGCAATGCAGCGTTTCATTGTCCAATTTGGCCTAAAACTTTATATGATCAAAAACAATGTTAGCCTTCCTGTGTTTACGCTTTAGGTTCCAGTCCATTAAGAACCAACGGCGTCATTTACCCAACATGCATTGCACAGGTGAAAAAATGGCGACCTCTGTGGGTGAAAATATTAGAGGATATATAATTTTTGAAGTAACTGTGAAATTTTCTTTATCACAAACGGCAATTTTCAACTTAATAGGAAAACTATTGTATATTTAGGCCAACATGTTCAACTAGTCATGGATCCCTTTATATCTGCTGTAACAACTCAGGAGGCATTCCTTTATTTCATCTCACATACAGAAATTAAATCCAGGTCATGTTTGAAGTATTATTATTAATACTAATTAATGATTCAATTCAGTTGATTTCATTGACTCAAAGGCAATCCCTCACATTAAGCATGCTTGTAGTGACAGTGGAGAGGAAAAACTCCCTTTTAACAGGAAGAAACCTCCAGCAGAACCAGGCTCAATGTGAGCGGCCATCTGCTGAGGCCGACTGGGGGTTTTCATAATTTCCTTATTATTACTTATATCCTTGGATTATCATTAGTCTTCAATACTTGTGAGTTACTTCTATGGCGTTTTTCGTTAATTCACGTGGCACCAGGACTCACCTATCATAGCTGTACCTGCATCATAAAAATAATTTCCAATGTGGGGAAAGAACTTTTTATTCCCTCCTGATGGTTTGCATCAGTTAAAACTCCCACTGGGGAAATCTCCTTGGAGACCGCATCAATGGGCCCAAAGATTTGCTTTTAATATTAAAAGAAAAATATTCATTCCTACCTCTAAGAAGTCCTTTGTTTACCGTTTAATTTTGTTTTTTGGAAGAAATTTTTCTTCTAGTCACTCGGCTTTGTTTTGATGGTGGATTTTTAGCCGTTTATTTTTTTGTTGTTGTGTTTTAAGAGTTGACAGTATGACGGCTAACCCCAGTCTCAAGTATTCATGTGTTTTCGGTGTCAGCTCTACGCTGTTTTAAATGGTAACGTCCGTCTCGCTGAAACGTCGCAGTGGTGTTTACGTACAGTCAAGTGTGAAAGCCTTAAACAGCCTTGGCAACTTTCTGCTGATAATGACGAGTGTTTGCTTGTGTGTGTCTGTCTCTGATGCCTTGAGTTGTACATTTTACTTTATTACTGACACATTCTGAAGATTCGAATACTTCTGTTTGGATTCCCCCCCTTTATTTTTATGCTGGATTAAGGCAACAAAAAAATGTGAGGATCTAACTTGGTGCAGAAACATGTCTTCTTTCTTTTTTTTGAGCAGTTAAACCAGCAAATGTCGTCTTTAGCTCATTTCTTTTCCTATAAACAATGCAGAAGGTTTCAAAATAACATGTATTTAACTACTTTTTGTATAAACTAAGGATTTTTATTTTAAATTTATTTCCACCTTAAGGTAATTTTTTATTTATAGAGTTTCTGTAAACTTTATTTGATCTGTTTCTGTGCAGCATTTGAGATCGGGTATGTCTGTTTAGCTGTGAAAACTGATCATGTAAAAAAAAAAAAAAAAAAACTATTTTTGATGTCATGCATGATACTTAAAGTGGATATGTAAACATGAAGTTGTTTCCTCAGTGAGTTAAGTGCAGTTGTCTGCTTGTTCCACCAGCAGCATTCCTCTAAGGTGAGCCTCTGTTTCCCATCATTGTAGGACTGTGGATATTTTTCTGTACACATGGTTCAGTATAAAATAAAACCGTGTTGTGATGAACGGTCATTCCTTTTCTTTTGATTGGCTGTAGCTAATTACAGCTATATAAATGCTACATCAGTCTGTCGATATACATCTCTAACTTTCAAGAGTAAAGAGCTACTTAATATGTGCAGCGTTATGGTTAATAATTTAATCAAAACCTGAGGTTCTTAAAGTGGACGTCACGAGGCAAACCCAGTTGTGATCCCTGGGGTATATGGCTAAAACATATAAAATAAGAATTTCCCATAAAATTCATAGAATGAATATTTAGCTAATTTAGAAAAATGTAAAATGCACAATATAATAAAGTGTCCAAGGATTAAATTAAAGGCATTTAAAATGATGAATATTTAAAAATAAGTTCAACTACTTTATAGGAAAAAAAATGAATATAGAGTGGATTAATTACATGTATTTTTTTTAAGGCTTTCTCTAAAGGATTTGCTTTATTTTTATGGTCACATGAGATATACGAGAAACCTCTGGCCTAATCCTGCTTTACTTATGCTTGCTGTTTTTGTTTATTTTCCTTAACAAACCCATAGCATTTGGAGAACAGCTAGATTTATACTGAGATTAAAAAAACACTGGTGGAATGCTTTAGGTTGTGCTAGAGACTGAATCCAATGGATTTTATTAGGAGGATCAGATTAAGAAGGACAAAGTAATGTGTATGTGCCACACTTTTCAGATTCTACTAGGCAAAACAAAAAAAATTTATAGAAAAAATATTTTCTTTTATTTATGGGATACAATTACAACTTCAAAGGTTCCTATTTACATCTTTTTCCTTAAATAGCTTATTGGTTGTTGGTCAAAATGTGCTTTAAAGGAGAACACCAGTTTTTTTTTTTTTTTTTTTTAAACCATGTGCTGTATGTTCAGAAAAGAAGCTAAAGGCGGAGAAAAAGCTAAAGAATGGGAAAATGTAAATTTCAACCAAAGTGGCTGGAAAACGAGGAATTTAGGACATGGCTGCAGCCTGTCGACGGTAAAGATGAAGGATTTTGCCTTGTACATATGAGAGTCATGGGTATTTGTTTGTGGCATTAAAATTCTTTGTAAGAGCATTAAATTTGAGTTCCTCATTCCTGTATAAACCCTGAGATACTTGCAGCAAAGAATTTAAATTCTGTAAGACAATAAATATATTGTTGGTAAAATTTTACTCAAAAGTAAAATTGAAAGTGCAAAAATGTTACCGAAAAATTCAAATTACTTGAGCACAGTTTAACTGTAAATAAAAGTTCATTTTTATTAATTGCAGGAAGAAAAAAGAAAAGAAACTTCTGGCCCTACTACAAAGAAAATTGGGAGATATTGGCTTTAAATTGTTATTAATTAGCAGTTGTTTTAAAAAGGAAAGAAAATAAATTCCTTAAAGAAAAATTGTTTTGCAATGGCAATAGTTATATGGTAAATGGAATGTACTTAAGAAATTCTATCTTCCATTAATAAACACATTCACGTGCCAAGTTGTACTTTAGGTCTTTATATCTGCTCCTTGGTTTAATGCAGAGCTGCGTACTTTGAAGCAAAATGCTAGGAAACTGGAGAGAAAATATCGCTCCACAGGCCTGCGAGAGTCCTTCCTAGTCTGGAAAAATGGTTTACTGCTGTATAAGAGGACCCTTTGTAAAGCAAGAGCAGCATACTTCTCCTCATTAATAGAGGAGAATAAGAATAATCCTAGATTTCTTTTTAATACAGTTGCCAAACTCACCCAGAGCCATAGCTCTGTTGAACCGTCCATTCCACCTGCTCTTAGCAGCAATGATTTTATGGGATTCTTTATAAATAAGATTGATCTTATTAAAAATAAGATCATAAGCACTCCTCTATCCGCGATTGTACCTGAGGTAGTCATGGAATCTGAACCGGGTTTAGACTGCTTTGATCCAGTTGAACTCTCTGAATTAGCAAAATTATTGTCTTCATCTAAGCCTTCAACTTGTATGTTAGATCCAGTTCCAACCAGGTTATTTAAGGAGGTATTCCCTTTGATCTCCTCCTCCATTTTAGATGTGATTAATCTATCTCTGTTACAGGGATATGTACCTAAAGCTTTTAAGATTGCTGTAATTAAACCTCTGCTTAAGAAACCGTCTCTTGACCCAGATGACTTGGTCAATTATAGACCTATATCCAATCTTCCTTTCTTATCCAAAATTCTTGAGAAAGTAGTTGCCAAACAAGTTTGCGATCACTTCCACCATAATGAACTTTTTGAAGAGTTTCAGTCTGGCTTTAGAGCTCATCATAGCACTGAAACAGCTCTGGTGAAAGTCACTAATGATATTCTCATGGCCTCAGATAATGGACTTGTATCTGTGCTCGTCCTGTTGGATCTTAGTGCTGCATTTGATACAGTTGACCATAATATTCTTTTAGAAAGACTTGAATATTTTGTTGGAATTAAAGGAACAGCACTAGACTGGTTTAAATCTTATCTATCTGATCGAATTCAGTTTGTTCATGTTAATGATAGATCTTCAACACGCTCAAAGGTTACCTGTGGAGTACCACAGGGATCCGTGCTAGGACCAATTCTCTTTACTTTATACATGCTCCCAATTGGTAGAATTATTAGACAGCATGGGATTAATTTCCACTGTTATGCTGATGATACCCAGCTATATCTGTCTATAAATCCAGATGAAGCTAACCCATTACATAGATTACAGGCATGTCTTGAAGACATAAAAACCTGGATGACTCTTAACTTTCTGCTTCTGAATGCAGACAAAACAGAAGTTATAGTCTTTGGACCAGAGTCTCTGAAAAAGAAACTGATTAGCCAGTCACTTCATTTGGATGGGATTAAACTGATTTCAGATAATAAAGTAAAAAATCTTGGTGTTATTTTTGATCAGGACCTGTCATTTAAATCCCATATCAAAGAGGTTTCTAGAATTTCCTTCTTTCATCTGAGGAACATTGCAAAAATTAGAAATATCCTGTCCAGGGGTGATGCTGAGAAACTAGTCCATGCATTTGTTACTTCAAGGCTGGACTATTGTAATTCTTTACTATCAGGAAGTCCACAAACTGTAGTTAAAAGCCTTCAGCTGATCCAAAATGCTGCAGCCAGAGTTCTAATGAAAATAAAAAAGAGAGATCATATCTCTCCTATCCTGGCTTCTCTTCATTGGCTTCCTGTTAAATCAAGAATAGAATTTAAAATCCTCCTTCTCACATATAAAGCCTTAAATGGCCAAGCTCCATCTTATATCAGAGATCTGATTGTTCCTTATGTTCCTAACAGAGCACTTCGCTCTCAATCTGCAGGTTTACTAGTGGTTCCTAGAATTTCTAAAAGTAGAATGGGAGGCAGATCTTTTAGTTATCAGGCTCCTCTCCTGTGGAACCAACTACCAGTTTTAGTCCGTGAGGCAGACACCCTGTCTACTTTTAAGGCTAGGCTTAAAACTTTCATTTTTGATAAAGCTTATAGTTAGGGTGGCTCAGGTTATCCTGAGCTATCTCTATAGTTATGCTGCTATAGGCTTAGACTTTTGGAGGACATAGGGACCCCCATTTCATCATTCTGCTTCATTCTCTCTCTGTTCTCCTATTCTGCAGAATCTGTTAGTTCAATCTCTAACCTTCTGCTCTCTCTGCTTTTCCTCAGAGTAGCTTTGCCTCGTCTGTTCCTGTTTGGCTGTGACGTCATCCTGGAAAAAAAACATCAGCTGTGCTGCTTCTATCAACACCCTTGTTAATAGATGTTGGAGATCGGCCTGTTTTCCAGTGTGGTCCTGTTTCTCTGACCGTGACTGAGTGGATGTGCTCTCTTCGTCCTCTGGCATGGGAGCTGCCTTGGAGCTCGTCTGCCTGGCTGTGTGTTTCCTGGACGGGGCCGCCTTTTACAGCTGCTTTTTGTATCTCTGCTTCTGTCTCCTTGAACCCCAGTCGGCCTCAGCAGATGGCCGCTCACACTGAGCCTGGTTCTGCTGGAGGTTTCTTCCTGTTAAAAGGGAGTTTTTCCTCTCCACTGTCGCTACAAGCATGCTTAGTGTGGGGGATTGTATTTGAGTCAATGAGTCAATGCAATCAACTGGTTTTCCTTAGATAGAAAACTTTGTATCAATTTGACTGTATGATCTGGTTGAACTGTAAAGTGCCTTGAGATGACATGTGTTGTGAATTTGGCGCTATATAAATAAACTGAATTGAATTGAATTGAATTTATATCTGACATTTTGAATTGAAAAAGCTTCCCGGATGGGAAGCGAATCATCTTCACTCGGAAACAAAGTCCAGTGGATTTTTTATTTTCTTTTTTTAGAATGACTATGACCTGTATGACTGAGAACCTTCCCCAGCATAATGCAATTTGAAAATAATTAAAATTAAAAATTTAGAAACTGAATTTGAAACAGATAAAATGATAAAATCTGTAAAATTTCAATTTAAAAATTTAAAACCTGTAAAACAACTTTTTGAATAAATAAAATGTGAAAACTAATCAATCTGTATAAATAAAGGTTACTTACAAAATGTTTTTTTGAATAAAACTTTTTTGAAATCCTATAATTACTGAATGTATTTTTTAAGGTTTAATGTGCACAATTTTTTTTTTTCCCTTAAGCTTGTGCTCTTTGCTTGCAACAATAAATCCCATTCTGAAGCCCCTCAGCTCTATGGAAGAGGATTAGGGCCACTGAAAGAAACAAACCAAAAGTTAACCGATTTTTACATTTTATTTCATTTTGATATGGGAAAAAAGTCAGAAATCTGACTTTAATCTTAGAATTCTGACTTTTTCTCAGAATCTCAGAATTCTGACTAGACATGTCTATTTTAGAGATTAGTTCTCTTGTTTTAATCCCCCTCTGCTCTTCCATTAATGAAATAGCATCACTGGGGACCCCTCAGGCATGTAAAAAATGTCGTCTAATGACGTCATTTTCTCAGAATTCTGAGATTAAAGTCAGAATCCTGAGAAAAAAGTCAGCATTCTGAGATTATAGTCATAATTCTGAGATTAAAATCAGAATTCTAAGAAAAAAGTCATAATTCTGAGAAAAAAGTCATAATTCTGAGATATTATTCAGAATTCTGACTTATATCTCAGAATTATGACTTTTTTGTCCCACGTTAAACTGAAATACTATTTAAAAATCAGTTAACTTTTTTATTTCCGCAGTGGCCCTAATCCTCTTCCTTACAGCTGTGTGACTAGGAGCCTCTCTTCGAAGGGAAAGATGTAGACCTGAGAGGGTCTGCCTCATTTCCAGACGGTGACATTCTCATCGTGTCCCGCCCACAAGGCTTGGAATCGTGTCTCCTTTTCACAAGTCTCGCTGGGGACGGAGGGAATAACAGCGGGACCATAGATGGCCCGGACACGGGGTGAGTAGCACGGATGAATGAAATTAGCCCGTTTGTTCGGTTTGATTAAACCCAGAGGGAGAGAGAGGGATGATCTGCATCCGTGACAGAGCTGCATCTTGTCAGCAATGGAGGAGCCGACAGGCTAAAATGGATGACTGTAGAAACACGAGCCTCCTTTTCAGGAATAATGATGATCGGCAGCATCAGTTTCCCACAGATAGAGCCAGTATCTGAGTCTGAATCCTCCACAGCGAAGAGAAATGTAATTAATTTCACTATAGAGCACAAGTAAAGCTGTGCTTCACCAGGCTGTGGCTCTTAGCGGCTCATCGATCCAGTCCGTCCGGTTAGATCACCTGTAATCAGCGCCAGATAGGCTATTCCCAGAACTTTGTCACAGCAGGATTTCTAAGCAAAGCTAAAATATTTCCTTTGAATGCCACTTTCAATTGAGGGAGTTTGGAGATTTAGGACGAGGAATTTGTTGACTACAGCAGCTTTCGATTCACCATTATTATAGTAAGTGGATAATAAACTCAATCTACCTCTTAAGAGTAGTGATCTTGTAGAAAACATTTTGGCCAGAGGGGGCGCAGCTGCTACGCGTTTAACTTCTCTAAGTTTACAAATTCACCCCCGCAGATTGACCTGAAGCTCTGAGGGGACCCTCTGCTCCCCTCAACCACATTTCTTGTTAAAGGACTGCTAAAATGGCGACAGAAACATCCGGGCCGCCGTGAAAAGCAGCTGGTGGGGGACAGAGAGCGGGTCCTCTGAGTTGAGGCCGCACTGTTCAGATTTCCTCCTTAGTCCGGAGCTCCTGGGCGACTGTTGCTAAGATACCGAGACGGCGCGTGCTGCCAAATTAGCAGGGAAAAGAAAACAAACATGGCGGCGGTTCTGAATTATTAGTTGTGACTGATCAGGGATTGGAAAGCAGATTCCTTACTTAATTTAAAAAAGAATAATTTAATGAATTTTTTAAATTTTATTTTAATTTTTTTTTTCATATTTATTTATAATTTTGTAGCTTTTTCAATAATAAATAATAAAAAATGTCTTGACTTTGTGGATTTTTATCTTCATGGCAGTAAACAATAACATAGCTGTTGTATTTACTCGCCTATAAATTCACCCAGTTTTTCTCTGTAGATTCTAAGAAATTTCAGATCATCAAACAAAACTCAATATGAGCTACAATTCAAATAAAAAGGTTGTTTTGAAATTATAATTGTGTTTATTAGAAAATAAATCAATCCCAATTATTCTCTCTATGAAAAGATGACTGAAACTAAAGGAATTAACTGTGATCAGCCATATTTACTTGTTTAACCAGCCATGCTTATAGTTTCATTACTGCATAAGCCTTATAAAGCCACTAATTAGGTTATTATAATCTGTCTGACATCATGACATCAATCTGAAAAAATATCAACAAAAGGATAAAAATGAAGAAATCTGTGTTTCTCAAAGCATCAAAGTGTATTTTCCAATATAACATACATACAGAACGGAGTTAACACTCCTGAAGACTCTTTACTCTGGTGGCTTCAGCCCCCATTTATGGCGTGGCATGTTGGAGCAGCTTATTTGCAGCAGAGAGGAAGCAGTTGGATAAGCTCATTAGGAAGCCATGCTCTGTCCCCTGAAAGTGTGCAGGTGGTGGGAGACAGACCCACTGTAAGGTAAATGACATCAGTGTTGGATGATATCTCCCACCCCATGCATCAAGCTCTTGCAGAGCTGGAGAACTTATTCAGCAAAAACTATTGGATCCTAGATGCACCAAAGAACGCTTCTGCAGATCCCCCTGTCACTACCCGATCCGTCTTGGGAGCACGCTCTGTTCCGCACATGCCTGAACAGCTTCCAGGGTAGCCAGTACTTCATTTTTCATCGTTTTTTATTCTTTTTCAGGGGCGGGGGGTTCCTTTTGAAATATATTTTATTTGTGTAAATATTGCATATTGTAAAAACGAAAAAAAAAGAAGCAATACATCAAAAAACGCATAAATAGCCTTTCGAATGTTACTGTGACTGCTTTCAGAGTATCAATTTCTTCCAGAAAAGTCTTCAACATTTTCTATATGATGTAGTTTAGCCTTCTTTAGTGTTTTAAGTATATAAATAAGTATTTTCAAAACCGTTATTACATCATTTTCAGTGACTAGGATCTTATTATTCTGTTCGAGCATGAGCAGTATGGATCGGGGAGTGACGCCCCCTCCATCTGTTGTTTGATGCTCATCTTTTGGTCACTTGAGTTTTCTTTTAAAAACAGACATAAAAAAATAGAAAAAAGAAAAAACATGGTTTTAAAATAGAAAAAAATACATTTAAAGAAAGAGTGCTTCTCGTCTTCAGTGTCAAAAATGATCAGCAGCATTTTGAAAATTATTTATTTTCGATTTGTTAAAGCAATTAGTATGCACACCCCCCCACCCCCAGAGCCAGTGAAGGCATATTATGTCATAAAGTGGAAGCAAATGTGTAAAAAGTGGTTAAAGCTGAAACATAGGATCCCATCCATATTTTGTTGCTGAAGGTCAACTCATATGTCTGTACAAAAAAGAATAAAAAACATTTGATCTTGATGAAATAAGGTTATGTGCACCAAGTGACTTAACTAAAACTGTGTTTTTATTGTCCTTTTTTGAGCCTAATTAGAATCCCAGCACCAGGTGCAATGAGCCGACAGATGTGGCGCCATCCGGTGGTACAACCAAAAACTAGGAAAAAGCTAGATGTTGACAATGGAGGCAGCTGCTTAATAGAGCCCAACTGTCCTGCAATGCCTTGTGGTAAAACAACAGTTCAGCATGACTGAAAACCAACTGATATAAATTAAATAAACTGGCAATAAAAAGCAACTGTAAGTTCCAGTGAATCCTCCACAGAGCCTCCTCTTGAAATTAGACTGTAGAGACTAGAAAAACCTTTGCTTTGGGTTTAGTATAGTAATGAGTGTCAAGGGAATGTTTTCAGGATGACTTGGATAATAGCGCGTTGTGACAAACACCAGATGCAGCACTGGGACTTGATCAACAGCCGATACCGCACCGTGACGTCACAAACCAGTAGGTGCCAGTAGTGTTTCTTTGACAAACATTGATGCCTCCAGTAAAGAACATTCAAATGAAAACTACTGTTAAAGGAAAATTCCGGTTTTTAACACTTTTAGCCCATTTTCTGTAGTGTCCAGGATGAAATCGAATGATCGACACCAAAATTTTGACAATTGGTCCTGTCTCTGCTATTTGGCTCATGCAGAATCCCCCCCTGGCTGCTTCAGAATGGCTTCCATAGTGCATGTCCGATAATGTCCTTAAAACAACCTTAAACGTTCTTTTTTTAAAATATGCTACTCACCTGGTCGTCAGCGCTGTTCAATGACGTTCCAAAAAAAGTTTTGTGAAGAAAAACCGTTCCTGTCTTGTTTTATTTAGCATTTTGTAAATCCCAGAACTATTTTTTCCGATACATCACAACCGCTTATAAACTTCCGCTTCCCGTTCGAATCTGAAGCGTTGCACACTCCAGACCACTAGTTGGCGACGGTATCCTCTACCGCCAAACTCAAAGTCCAATATGTCCTCCTCAAGAATCCACCTTTCGTATTCCATTTTCAGAGTTTTTTAAAGTGTTTAACAGAGACGTTAGCACCTCGACGTCAGAGTACACAGAGTGAAGCGAAAAGACTACAACTAAGCGTAAACAGGCCCCATTTCCGTTTCCGGTGGCGGAGGGATATTGACTATTCCAACAGAACTCAATGGGATTTACAAAATGCTAAATAAAACACTACAGGAACGTTTTTTCTTTACGAAACTTTTTTTGGAACGTCATTGAACAGCGCTGACGACCCGGTGAGTAGCATATTTTAAAAAAAGAACGTTTAAGGTTGTTTTAAGGACATTATCGGACATGCACTATGGAAGCCATTCTGAAGCAGCCAGGGGGGGATTCTGCATGAGCCAAATAGCAGAGACAGGACCAATTGTCAAAATTTTGGGTGTCGATCATTCGATTTCATCCTGGACACTACAGAAAATGGGCTAAAAGTGTTAAAAACCGGAATTTTCCTTTAATTAAAAACACTTTTATTGAACAGTATGTAATAATTTCATATTTAAAATACTTTCAGAAGTTTGAATTCTGAATATGACCGGACTTTTCCTTTAAGTTACTAATTCAGACATATGTTTCTATGCCGCATTATCAGATCCTATATTGTACTAAAGGCTGTTAGATTCACTGTGTTATAGAATAATCCTAAAGCCTTGCTAAAATCGCTCAGTTTAAAAAGGCCAAACTGGGAAGTTTTAGTTCATATGTGGGTTTTTTTCACAGATTTCTTGAGTCCCCAGACTAGTAAGCTGCATCTGTCACCAAGGTTATATTTAGGCTTAGAGATTTTATGTAATTTTCAAAGTACAGTAAATGTCATCTTGCACTTGTATTTTGACATTAATGAATATTTGGTGTTTTAGAATACGAAATTGATGCCATTGATGCAGTTGAATGTGGGATTGTAATCTGAATTTAAGTGAGATTTTTGAATCTGCTGCTATGATTTAAAGCAGTTGTGCTGCATATCACCCTGTGTTCATTTGTTAAGCTTTGTTGTGACAGAAAACACTTCAGCAGTCCCATGGCTCGGAGATATGCAGATCAAAGCATTCAAGCGTTCTTATTATTCACATCTTGACGGCTTGCATTTATTATCCCAACTTCCCAGGATGTTTTTCATTATGCTGGTAATAACGCTGGATTCACAAAAGAGTAAAGTCATTTTTTTCTTTATTTCCAAATGAATCATAAGAGAAACTCCTCAGTCAGTTCATTCAGTGGAAACCATCAGGTAAGGATATTTATAGCACAGACCAGGCTGGTGGTGCAGTGCTCAGTCATACTGCATCACTGAGAAATATCTGGAGAAGGGAATTATCTTTTTTTTGTTTGTTTTAATCCAGCAGCGATGACATTTCTCATCAAACGAGGAGCTGAAAGCCACGAAAATAGTTTTCTATTAAATCAGCAGAGCTGGTTTAGGGAACAGATGTTTTCTTCTCTCTTTTCATAGTTTTCAAATCATCCAACGAGCCTGTCATCTTCCATTTTCTGTGCTGACCTTCTCTCTCAGTACGTCAGGATAGATAGAAGCTTCGTATTTGTGGCCTGATGTGCTTTTTTCTCTTTTGTCACAAAAGTGTGTGGCAGATTGGAAAACAGTTTTTAGTTAGCTGTAATTAAATTTTACAGCTGGAAACGGTTTACTTCTATTTAGTGATGAAACAATTAATCGTGATTAATTGATTATTGAAATAATCATCAACTGATTTAGTAATCGATTCATCTTTAACTGGACTCTAAAACGTGGTTTTAGCTGACATGGCAAGCCACCTTGAGCAGTAATTATACCAAGATTGTGAAAAAAAATATTAATATTTTTCATTTAAAATAACAAAAACATTTTCATCTGTCAATATCCTCTATCCAGAACGTCTGAAGTGGAAAAGTTTTAGTTTCACCTGGTTTAATTTCATAAAAAGTCTTCTTTAAAGAAATAGTACACCCAAAACATGATTAGCCTTCATTTTCTACTCACCCCCATGCTGAACAACACTCTGGAGCACTTTTTTGATATCTCAAATGCATCTGGAGATCTGGGAGGCTTCTTGCTGTCTGCTGACATTCAAATAATGGAGGTCTATGGCGCCCGAGGCAGAAAGGTCCATAAAAGTCCACAAAAAACGTGTCAATATTCCTCCATACTGCTCGTCCAATGTATTCCAAGTGTCCTGAGTGGGTAGCGTCCATAATTTACTCGAAACGAAGTCATTTAGAATGTTTTTAGAGCATAAACAGTAGTGTATAGGTAGTGTATAGGTTCAGCATAAAAAAAAAATCCTGTCTTAAAATCTGTGTTTTTTTTCCCGTTATCTTCTGCAGGCCAGTTAGTTATACGTCAGCCTGAACACCTAAATTAAGCCAATCATATATCAACGGTCATCTGTCAATTAAATTTTTTCTGGTCATAGCAGCTTGATTCATAAGATGCAGCTAATATACGCAACGGCTGAAATAAGAATAATATCCTTTCCCATTGAGTTCCGTCCCAGTGTTCACGGGGATGGACGTCTGTGTCTTCAGCAGGCGTAGAGCTAACAGAACTGGCAGCGTTGCGAGGCAAGGGCTCAAACATGTACGGCTGGAAGCCTTCTACACCAAACCAAGCTTCTGCCGCCCTGGTGTCCTCTTCCACAACATCTTCGTCCCCGCTTTCCTTTTCTAAATAATAAAATGGACGAAGGAGGAGACTCACCCATGACCTGCCATGATGGCAATTATTTTACATCAAAGTAGTTTGCAGTTCTTCATATATACACACATCTATTTGAAACAGATGGTATCGGTATCGGCCAATACTGCGCAGCCAAGTATCGGGGCCAAAAAAATGGCATCGGCGCAACACTAGTTTCTATATATCCAGTATTTAGGCTAAAATGAATAGTTAGTATATTATTGGGTGAATAGAAGATATTAATCAGTGAGAACTTTATCTGCATGTCTCTGTTTACTGAGTCATTTATAAACTGCTGCTAATTATCTTCAAATCTCTGTTGGTTCCGATCAACAGAGGTTCTTTTTTCTTTTTTCCTGTAGGGTGGAATGACCAGAGCAGACAGCTATGCCGCCACCAGCAGACATCGTGAAGGTTGCGATTGAGTGGCCCGGTGCTAATGCTCAGCTAATAGAGATGGACCAGGTCGGTATTAGAGAGAAACATCTGCATATGGAGTTTTATTTTAGGTATTTAAAGGGGATAAATCATAAAAAAAAAATGTTTTGGCCCTCAATTGCATTTTGTTGCGTCGTTTGTGTCGGATTAGATTTCTCTCTGTGTTCAGTTTGACTCATATTTCCATCTGTTCTTGAACCTAAAATTATAAAGTTACGATATTTGCTGCGGAACTGCTAAACTTCTTAGTAAGAAAAAAGGTTATGAAAGTAACTTGCCATTTTTTTTTACTGATTTTATTAAAACTATTTTTATTATTTTTTGTTATTTAGAAATTTTTTTAGTTATATGAAGGTAGATTTTTTCTTTATTATTCAATTTAAAGCTACAGTGTGTAATAATTACAGGGATATACAGTCAGAAATGTAATATATTATACATAACTATGTTATTTATCATCATCTACGAGCTCAGCCTCTTAACCTTAATATTTGCGTTGCCTTAGAATTCGTTATTTATAATTACATAGGAGCGGGTCTCGCAGCCATGGAGGCAGACATCTTTGCGCTACGGCAGCGCAGAGCCAACAAACTAGCGGTTGCGAGATCGCCCATTACGCTCGAAAGTAAAATTATCTATGTAAACAAACCTCATCACTTGAGAAGGTAGGTGATGCGGACGTCGTGGAAGACATTTTGTCCTGTAACGCTCGCCGTACTGTTGGGGGGGAGAAGCGGTGGGGGGGAGATGTTCATATTGCTGCAGTCTGACCGCTAGATGTCGCTAAAAGTTACACACTGTAGCTTTAAAAAAAGGTTGCTTCAATCAAAAATGATATTTTAATTAAAATACCTTCACTTCAATTAAAAAAAACGTTTCAATCAAAGAAAAGCAGTGTTCAAATGTATTTGTTGATTCTCGACTATATCTTTGCATTCAAATACCTTTTTTCATTGAAGTAAAGGTGTTTCTAATTGAAAATATATTTCTTGACTGAAGCAACCTTTTTTTTATTGAATAATAAAGAAACAACTCTACCTTAATATAGTTCTGTTTTTCAGATTCAGTTTTACAAATTGCATTCCCTAATTTTGTTTTTAACAGGTTGATTGGGGGGAGGGGGGGTAGAGAATGGGATCAGTGAAACGTAATTTGAAGAGAATGCAAATGCTAAAATTCAGTCTGAAATAATACAATTTCAGAAAATGAAAAACAAACAAACAAACAAAAAATATCAACTAACAATATTCCCTACATAATAAAAGGCCTCGTTCTATTATTTTAAAGGCCAGTTCTATTATTTTAATAGCAAAAAGGAAGAATCCAAATGCAAATTACACATTTAAGTTACCAAAAGATTTATGGAGCAAATTTGACTGCAAAAACACAGTTTCTAAATGTGAAAAAAATGTGTCTCTGTTTCACATTTAATTGGAAGAAGTTTTTGGGTCTCGGACAGATTCTTCTGTTTCAGGCATTTGCTGTCTGGATTTTGATATTCTTGTCTTGTTTTTGCAGAAGAGGCCCCTATCCTCCATAATACGGGAAGTATGTGATGGGTAAGGAGTATATCCTGTTGTTTCTTTTATTGTACATTACTTTAGATTAAATTCCTCTGTAACTTTAAGATAAACAAAAAAAAATGGATCAGTGCTGACATTTTCCCAATTAGATCGGGGAAACCAACAAATTGTTGGGTTTTCTTTTACTTTGTACAATCTACTGTAGCTTTTTGCTAAAGCTGTTTTCGTCATGCTAACTAAAAATGATGGTCAATGTAATGCTAAAAGTGGCTTGAGATCCACTTTTCTTTGCAGGGAAAAAAAGGCCAAAAGCCCTGACTATTAGTTTGGGCAAACTTCTCTTCTAAATAACAACAGTTAGTTTGAATGTGTGTTTTTTTTGTATTTGAAACATTTATTGTTGAAGAAAAAAAATCTCTCTGATTTACACAGATTTTTTATTTTTTTTTAAGATTATATATCAATTATATCTCAGATCAACATAAAGTCGATCATAATTATCAATTCAGAGAAAAATGATACTTTGATTATTCTTGTATTTTCATCAAATGCATCATCAGTCTACCCATCAGGGCTGACAGTCTTCCTGTCCAAGCTGATGAAATAAATCTCCAGAGCATGATGCTGCCACCGCCATGCTTCCCTGTGGAGATGGTGTGTTCAGGGTGACGTGTAAACGATGGCTTTTTTCAAGCATAAATAACATTTTTGGTCAGAGAAGATTCTTTTAGCTATTTTTTTCTAAAACCCCAGCGTGTATTTTGGCAAACCTTGTCAGGACTTTTTGTTTTTGTGCACTAGTGGCCTTTATTTTGAAGGTCATCTTGATGGGAAATTTGGGGGAGGGAGAGGGGGTCGCTTTCTCTGCCCTTTCTCTCCTCTGCAACCCAAAACAGGATTTGTTTTATAGCTTTCTTTTAAAATAGCATTTTTATGTGTATTTTTTGCTATTATCATGCAAAGTTTACACTGTTATGCTACGTTCACACCTAAAGCAGCAGAGGCAGCAGAAGCAGCTAGTTTATAAGCGAAGTCAATGGTTGACGCGCATCTTGGTGCAGCAAAAGGTCCCGCAGCGTATTTTGAGCAGCAGGAGCAGCACGTCATGAGCTTCTTAGCATCCGAGCTGCTATTGCAGCTTCTGCTGGAGTTGCAAAAATAGAATTTTACTGCTCGACGGACTACATCAACCAATCAGAGAAGCTGATCTGGGAGCTGGCTGGGAGACGGACACAGCACTGCTGATGCAGATCGCTATGATCACTCCTCTGTAACAGTTTATTAACACCTAAGTTAACTTAAAACGTCAAAATCTGCTGGCAAAACATGTTTGCTTCTATTATTCTGGTGCCCGCAGTTTGGATTACGTACGTGAAAAACACTAACACCTACTTCTAGCCGCCGTGAACAGTAGTCAAAATGCGAAGAGGCGACTGGGCCAGAGGCTGCTGTTAAACTGGATTACTAGTGACAGCGCCCTGCCGGTGTACTGGAGTCTGAGCGGCTCCGACAGCGAAATAATATTTGAAGGCAGGATGGTAATCTGGATGAACTGACTGCACAGATGAAGTTTTCAGGTGGACTTTCTCACTTAAAAACATATTAAAACTACTTTTTACACACTGATTCCAGCAAATATAGCTGCCATTGTTACAGGCAAAGAAAGGATAGGGTAGCTTCGCCCAATGCGCATCGGACCCACTTTTCAACCACGCAGCTAGAGCAGCAAAGATGCTTCAGAACTAAATTTGTACAAACATCAAAATTGAAGCAGCAGCGCATTTTTGGTTCTCCTGCTGCTCGCGGTGTGAACGTAGCATCAGTCTTAGGGTCAGATTAGCCCACTTGGGGCCTCCCACCTGCTTCTCATCTCATTACAGATGATAGATTGAGTAGCTCGTATGAGATGGATCATGGTTTCCTAGCCTAATCCTGCCTTCAACTTCCCAAAAGAAGTCATTTATGGAAATCCGACTAAAGCTTGGTTTATGCTGAAAGCGTACTTTATCTCAGCATGGCCGAATGACATCATTTTAGCTTCCACGTAGTGACCAGTTTTAAACCTGAGGACGGCGCCAATCAGACGATTTTAGAGACAAAAGCAGGTTTTCAACTGACATGAAGAAAACTTTCATGTAGAAAGCACTATGAGACATTTGTTTACAGTTTGTCAGCAAAAAAAAAGTGGATTTAGGGGTCAGTCGTTCTTTAAAGACTCTCTTTATCTGCATATTCAGAGGTAAAAAGCATCCAAACAGGAAAACGATGCCTCTTTATCTAGTTAGATTTAGATTTGACTGGCTGTTCTGTTGACTACATTATAAGCTTATTTTTTGATCCATCATTCTTAGTTTCAGAGTTTTTGCTCTGATAGTGATAATTGGACGTTTCACACCACTAGCCTCTCTGAAAAATGCCTGTTTCTACCCACAGTGTCAGCTTCTGCTGCGGACTCCCACTGAAAACCTCCTCTTCATATTTGCTGTGTGCCTCTTGTGTAAATACATTTGTTGGAGGGAAAGACCTGACTTAGGCAACCTTTTGTTCTTACTCGCTGGCGCTCTGTATCATTCCCACGTTTTTTTACTTGTAAATGTTTTTTATTTTTGAGAATCAATATCTCTTTGTTTAAACATGTCCTCCCTGTTTTGGCCCTCAGGTGGTCTCTGTCGGGCTCCGAGCAGTTCGCTCTGCGTTATGCTGATGGTCCTCAGCTGTATATCACGGAGCAGGTTTGATTCTGTTTTATTTCCCAGGCTCTGCCAAAGACATAGCGAAGCGATGCTGACCCTAAGCTGCCCTTTATTCTTTTTTCAGAGCCGCGGTGACATTAAGAACGGGACAATCCTTCGATTAGCAATTTCCCCAGTAAGTTATCCGGTATCGGTATCCGTGCCAAAAAATGGCATCTACGCAACACTTAGAATAACACAATCAGTGCAGACCTAGGAACCTTTGGAAAGCATTTGTTTGCCACATAACAAAATGTTATTTACTTTTTTGTATTTGGCAGCAGTTGATGTAATTATCTCAATTTGGTAAGTACTTAAAGGAATAGTACACCCAAAACATGATTAGCCTTCATTTTCTACTCACCCCCATGCTGAACAACACTCTGGAGTACTTTTTTGATATCTCAAATGCATCTGGAGATCCGGGAGGCTTCTTGCTGTCTGCTGACATTCAAATAATGGAGGTCTATGGTGCCCGAGACAGAAAGGTCCATAAAAGTCCACAAAAAATGTGTCAATATTCCTCCATACTGCTCGTCCAATGTATTCCAAGTGTCCTGAGTGGGTAGCATCCAGGATTTACTCGAAACGAAGTCATTTACAATGTTTTTAGAGCATAAACAGTAGTGTATAGGATTTCCTGAAAGCGCGCGTCTGCAAGTTCACGACGCTACGGAAACCGCGGCAGACCAAACCGGATGAAAGTGCGCATTCAGCTCGGCAAAGAACTCATGCTCTTCCTCAACACTGAAGTCCTCAGACATTTTTCTTTCGTTGTTTCTTTCTTTGCACAGGTAAACAGCACATTTCTTCTTCTACGCTTGCATTATCGGCAGAGCAGACGCTGAATGCGCACTTTCATCTGGTTTGGTCTGCCGGCTTCCGTAGCGTCGTGAACGCGCAGGCGCACACTTTCAGGAAATCCTATATACTACTGTTTATGCTCTAAAAACATTCTAAATGACTTCGTTTCGAGTAAATTCTGGACGCTACCCACTCAGGACACTTGGAATACATTGGACGAGCAGTATGGAGGAATATTGACACGTTTTTTGTGGACTTTTATGGACCTTTCTGCCTCGGGCGCCATAGACCTCCATTATTTGAATGTCAGCAGACAGCAAGAAGCCTCCCAGATCTCCAGATGCATTTGAGATATCAAAAAAGTACTCCAGAGTGTTGTTCAGCATGGGGGTGAGTAGAAAATGAAGGCTAATCACGTTTTGGGTGTACTATTCCTTTAAGTGTTTAATAAAGGGGTTAAAACAACTGTCATTTTAAGAGGAACATGTTTTTTTTAAACTTATCGTATCAAGTTGGGTTATTGTTTTCACAGAATTTCCATAACAAGTAGTTATTGTAATGCTATTAAAAATATCTGCAACTAGATGCGCCAATAATTATGGATATCGCAATATAGTCATCAGTCTCTGTCTGCCTCAGGATTCCCAATTGAGCGTTTACTGAACATTTTCATGTTAACAGTGATGTTAACTCCTTGGCTTTAACAGGCTCGTGCTGCCAGACAACTCTTGGAGAGGATTCAGTCACATGGTATAGACGCTCGCCTCGAGGCTTTAAAGGAGCTCGCAAAGCTGTCTGCAGATCCCACTTTCGCAGCAGAGTTCATCAATATGGAGGGCATAGGAACGCTGGCTCGGCTGGTAGAGAGTGGCACTCAGTAAGCAATAAGGCATAATTTGTTGATTCTTTTGCGTATTGGATTTTTTTTAAAGTCAGACCTTTTAAAAATGTCCAGGCTAACTCTTTTTTCTCCTTTAAGTTTCGGGGAGATGTTGGCCTTCACTCTCACCGCTTTCCTGGAGTTGATGGATCACGGCATCGTGTCCTGGGATCTTATCTCGCTGTCCTTCATCAAACAGGTGCTTCCCCCATTAAAAGCTCGTGATCATTTTACACAAACTTTATGTACCATTTACAGGTTTACAGTTGCCTCAGCAGATGCCTCAGTGCCTCAGTGTGAGCGGCCTCAGCAGATGGCCGCTCACACTGAGCCTGGTTCTGCTGGAGGTTTCTTCCTGTTCAAAGGGAGTTTTTCCTCTCCACTGTCACTACAAGCATGCTTAGTGTGAGGGATTGCATTCGAGTCAATGAGTCGGTGGAATCAACTGGTTTTCCTTAGATAGAAAACTTTGAATCAATGATCCGGATGAATTGTACAGTAAAGTGCCTTAAAATGATGTGTTGTGAATTGGCGCTATATGAATAAACTTAATTGAATTTAAAGTCGTAGGGAAATCATATTTGAATGTCAAATCATTCTGGCTTAAACATGCATATAAATGTACTTTTTATCAGACAATATTATCCCAAAATGTAGAAATGATCTATTCTAAAAAGAATCCTGTCTTAAAATCTGTGTTTTTATTATTCCTTATCTTCTGCAGGCCAGTTAGTTATTTGTCAGCCTGAACTCCTAAATTCGGCCAATTATATATCAACGGTCATCTGTCAATCAAATATTTTAGGTCATAGCGTCTTGATTCAGATATTGCAGCTAATATACGCAACAGTTGAAATAAGAATCATTTCCTTTCGTGTGACGGAGGAGACTCATCCACGACCTCCGACACTAAACTCTCCTCCTCTTGCATGTTTCCTCTGTCCATAGCGTTCCTTGACAGTGTCGTTTCTAAGTCACCAATTTAGTGCTACTTGGTCCCAATGGAATTACACATTGAAAACGTACTAGCAATAAGTTGCTAACTGGTTAGCAAGATGTTTCCGACAAACCGGCCACAACCAAACTTGCTTGCGAACCTTTCGCCACAACAATCCCGCCCCCTTTGATAAACAACCAATCACATTGACTTTATTTACTCGTGTAAAGTCGTGCACCATTCGGGAGAATTCAGAAATGCAACGGTTGGAACAGCCGTTTCCCTACGACTTTACTTCAATTAAATAATCTGGAACTTCAGGGTCAGTTATTCCTGTTGTTTCGTTGAATTCTTTGACCTTCCTTTTTGGCTCGCAGACTGGAAACCTGTGGGAGACGTTGCCTAGTAACTGTAATTGGTATAGCTGCTTGAGTGTGTACCTTAAAAGTTTTCCTCCCTGCAGGGTGAGTCTTGAGACTTACTTAAATGATTTCTTAATAAAGTTTTCCTTTCTCTCATCAGATCGCAGGCTATGTGAACCAGCCCATGGTAGATGTGTCCATCCTGCAGCGCTCCTTGGCAATCCTGGAGAGCATGGTCCTGAACAGCCACAGTCTGTACCACCGGGTGGCCCAAGAGATCACCGTGGGACAGCTCATCGGGCACCTGCAAGTGTGAGCACACACACATGCACAGGGGCTTCATGCACTCTGCTGTCGGGGGGGAAGAAGGGAAAATGTTGTGTGAAAAGTTTCTGTGATAAAACCAATGTAGGATTAGCCATGCGCAGACAGCTCCAAACAATAAGTGGAGAAAGAGATGAAGAACTGTAAAGTCAACTTTAGGTTTGGTCAACGCTGGGAGTGGAATGGCACGTCATCTTTTGGCACACTATTAGCAGAGAACAGAGATGTCTCCCATGAAATCTACATCAGTGACAGGTGGTCACTGCTGGAAAAAACATGTTTAACACCTCAACATGTATTCAGAAGTAAGATGCTCTGGATGATCTGCAATCTGTTGTTGATTTGCTCTCATCTTTCCCTTTAAAAAGGGGTTTGGCTTTATTTGCTCTAATAAGTTGAAAAAAATTTTTTTTAACATGATGTTGAACAAGAAAGTCCACCTTAAATCTGTGCCGTCAGGTCATCAGGATTCTGGGACTGCCCCGTGAAAGCTCTCTGAAGCCGCCAGGCTGTCTAGGATTTGCTGCTGAATATCAAATAGCAAATTGGACATTTAATTTTTGATAAAATGCAAACTAAGGCCGTTTCTCAATTCACAAGAACGCAATACTCGTGTCCTCGCCAAGGATGTTTTTGAGAAGTACACAGGAAAGTGTGGACTTGGGGAGAACGGGAGCATTCAGCATAAATATGGTGATAATTATGTTATTAATAGTCTCTAAATAATAATAAATTCCTATTTTTTTCATTTGGTGGAAGAATAATAATTAACACAGTCAGATAAACACAAATCAAATTAACGTTTTGCCGAATAAAACCCCAAAATCTCCATCATAGCCAGCGGTCCTTCACACACGGCTATGCAGAGAGCGGGCTGCTGCAGACGGGCTAATGTTAGCCACGGTTGCTGTAACCATTGGGGTTCCACCGGTTGCCGCGCTCCTCTCAACGTTGTAAATAAAAAAAAAAAAAATTACACATTAAATTCGGTAAATGGGCCATATTGTGACACTCAAAAGTATAATGTTCTCACCTTGAATGATCTTAAAGGCATACTATGCAACATTTTTCAGTTAATTAATGTGTTCCATAACGTTTTGGATGATTAAATGAGTCATTTCAGGTTGAACAAAGGTTTTCTCGGCCGCCCTGGTGGTCTGTGGGGGAAATACCGCACTTGCAATTGCAGGAGCACCGACCCGCACCCACAGGCTCAGAAGTCTCGTGAGAGTCAGTCTTGCTTTACGGCGAGAACTGCTACACGCCCCCAGTTAAAAGCATGCTCGTTGCTAGCACAGTGGCAATCTTTGTGCAGTTATGCTACGTTCACATCGGACGCAGCAAAATCGTGTCTGCTGCTTCATTTTTGCTGCTTGTACCAGTTAGTTCTGACGCGCGGCTGAAGCAGCTTTGCTGCTCTGGCTGCGCGGTGCAAAAGTGTGTCTGATGCACGTTGGGCGGAGCTTCACTATCCTTTCTCTGCCTTGCAGCTATATTTGTTGTGATCAGTGGGAATAAAGTAGTTTTAATATGTTTTTAAGTGAGAAAATACACCTGAAAACGTAATCAGTGCAATCAGTTCATTCAGATTATTATCCTGCCTTCCAATATTTTTTCTGTCGGAGCCGCTAAGACCCCCACATACCAGCGGTGCACCGAAGGTAGGAATCCCTTCACCAGCAGCCTCTGGCCGGGTCGCCTCCTCGCGGTTCACCGCGGCAGCTGGTAGGTGTTTTTCATCTAAATAATCCAAACTGCAGGCAGCAGGATAATAAAAGCGAACGTAGCATTAAACGCGCCCGACGCGCTGCTTCAGCTGCTCAGACGCGCTGCGGGACCTTTTGCTGCGCCTTGACGCGCTGCTTCAGCTGCTCAGACGCGCTGCGCCTGCTGCTCAAAACGCGCCGTTGGACCTTTTGCTGCGCCTTGACGCGCGTCAACCATTGACTTTGCATGTAAACTCGCTGCTTCTGTCGCGCCAGCTGCGTCCAGTGTGTGCATTCGTTGCGTTCGCCTGTCTGCTAAGCTCAAAACAACCGCGCCTGGCTTGACAAAGAAACCAGGAGAACAGCTGTGCATATTTACGACAGTGCACTTTTACTTTCGCCCTCTGGGGGGAGCCTTGCTGGAAAATCAAAACCGGTTGCATAGTGTACCTTTAAAATGTACTTTTTTAGAACGACGGCAACAGAAAAGAGAACTTTTAACTTAATACTCTGAGCTCTGTTAGCACTCCATTGGAATGCTGGGACAGCTGTCAACCTCAAGAACGGACAACTCTGCTCTGATGCATCCTGGGTAAAGATGGAGGTGCAGGAAACACATCTGGAGACTTTGACCTACCTCAGTCTTTTGTTCTTGTGAATTGAAACAGTACTAGGGCTGAGGCTTATGACGTTATACACAAGCACATGAGAACGCACATGAATGCCTCCCTCATTCAAAAGTATTGCTGAATGGAACTTAAAATAACTAATTATAAAATAAAAACTATTTCACAAATTTGAGCATTTATTTCTTAGGCATTTTATGCTTTCCATCTCTAATAAAAAAAATGAAAAAAATAAGTATGATCGAAGTTAGTGAGGAATCAAGCTAAATAAAAAATAAAATCATATAAACCTGTGTTTTTTATTTATTTATTATTATTTTTTTTAGAAAATAATAAATAGATTTTAAAAGATAAATAATCACATTTAAACTTATATTATTATATTTATATATTACTTATTGTAGTCTCACTGACTTAATTAGTTTTACTTTGTTTTCATCAAGACTGCTGAGCTTCTTTGAGTAGCTCTTATAGCTCAGTGTGAAACCAGCTGATCACAGACTGTTCTCTACATCCAGTCTGTTCCTCTGCTTGGTTTGCATGTGTGTCACAGCTGCAGGTGAACTCAAAGAAAAACGTACTTTTTGGTTGCTAAAAGCTTGTTTAACAGATCCCAGCCCTATTTTATTTTACTACCTAAGAGATCAAATATTTTTAATGCACCCCTTGCAATGCTTTCGCACACCACTAGGGGTATGAGTAGGGTACAAGAATCACTGCTCTAATGGATCATATTTAAAAACTTTATCTAGGATTTAAAGTGTTTTGGTCACCATAACGAGGTTAATTTATCAATAAAACTGACTTCTTCATTTCTTGGCTGTGTCTCTAAAAACAGCTTTTTTAAACAAGTTGTGTGATTTGACGTGATGTAGGGGAGTCAAACACTGAATTACTCCGCACTTTGTGTGGAGAGTAGGGAGTTACCAGGTTGAGTGGACTTGTTATTAGATTTATTGATCGTAAACATCTTTAAGCAGAGTGTCTGCTAAAAGATGCTGAAACGAATGAAACTTGTTTCCTTAGAGGGACTGAGACACCGCCGCTGCTCCAGTCCCGATGCAAATCTAACAGTAAACAGGAGATTCCATTGGCACTTGTTTGGGATCAACAGGAACGCTGGAGAAACTTTAAACAAAGGGAAGATGGCTGATTTTTCTCACTGATTACCACCAGAGATTTGAATTGTGATCTGTTGTCAAGCTCTAAACAGATCGCTGCTCAAAACCTCTCAGAATGACGTCTGTGGTCCAGAAAAACAGCAGGAGGCTGCTGGACTGAACTAAAGCAGAGTTCATAAATACTCCACTGATTGCTCTCACACCACAACACAAGCTGTCTCCTTTGGCCATTACCCCCCCACTTTGCAGCAAGCTCATAATTATAGGGTTGTGCTCCATCATAAGTTTAGTTGCACACCTTTAATGTCTCTTCGTCATCTGAATTAGCATTGCTATCCATCATTTATTGCTGTAAAGCTAAGTTTTCCATATCTAAGTTTCCATATCTAAGTTTTAGTATGGAAGTAACATTTTTTCACAAAAACGACCCAGAAAGCTGAAACTGTTCATTTATAAATACATTTTGGTTCTAAAACCAATGCCTCGCATATTTTCCACTGTGAGGAATCCTTGATAAAAGTGAGGCTCCAACCTGCAATCTGCTCTTTCAGCATTTTAGTGGTAAAAAGAGCAAGTATTAGAATATAAAACTGATATTTGTTTTTCATTTTTAGTTAATTTAGGTGTTTATAAAGCATTTCTCTATGGTTAAGTCAGAATATACTAACTTACTCATTCCAATAAAGAGTTACTTGATCTGCAGAAATCTGACATTTAACTATGCACAAGCAGATGCACAATTCAGGTCCATATGGAGCAGGAGCAGGGCCGGACTGGGAGATTTTTCAGGCCAGGAGTCAGTCATGTAACCAGGCCACTCTGGTTACATGACTGACTGACATAAAATAAAATAGGACTGGGATTTGTTTTGCTTTCTGATGACCCAACTGAAAAATTAAAAAAAGCTTTTATCAACCAAAAAGTAAGTTTTTATTATAAGTTTGAGTTCACTTTCAGCTAATTATAGTCAGTCTGACTATAATTTCTGTTCTGCATTTTGTTCCCAATTCACCAAGTTTAAAAATGGTTATAAGGGAGCAACTCAGATGAACTCCAGTTTTATAAATACTGGTTTATAATATGATTTTATTTTGTATTTATTTCGATTCCTTATTAACTTCTAGGCAACATACTAATGTTGTTTTTTTTTATTAGAGATGGAAATTTATAAAAATTTAATGTTCAAATTAAAACATTAAGTAAAATCTTTTTTATTTCAGTTATTGTACATTCCCCTTTTGGATCATCATCAGAACTTATGACTGAGAGGGGTTCTCATGGTACGAAAAATTGCTGCTGTCTGTGTCCCTCCTCAAATTCTACTGGCCAAAGTGGCCTGGTCTGTCTCTCTCTCTGACAGGCGCACCACTGCTGCACCGGCAGACTTAAAAAAAAATAAAATAAAAGAGACGCAGGCCAGCAGGCCAATCCCAGGCCGGCGCTTCGGGAATATTAACATAATTATTGTTATCGTTAGTATTATTTTTTATTAAACAACAGGGTAAATTTAGTTTGACCTTTTCAATCAAAATGGCAGACAGTGGAAAAGTTCCCTGTCTGTTTTGTTGCCTAAGCACTACTTATTTTCAGGTTAGCGCAGACTGCCATAAAGCGGTGCTCTGGGTTACATGACTTTCTTGAGTTAAAAGGAGAGGCTCACACAGAGCATCACTGACTCGATAAATTGCTTAACATATTCAAAATCCAGCTAATAGCCGGGTAAAAGATACAGCGTTGCTTTAACCGAGAATAAAAACTGCTGTACACGCCACGCCTTTCAACAGTAAAATGAAAGTAATGACCACCTGCTTTGAGCTATTGAATCAGATCTTTTTCTTTTCAGTCTGCTGTTTGCTAACTGGTTTTTGAGGGATCACTGTTTGCAAGTTTGGAGAGAGAGAAACATGGCAACCTGGGTCAACATGTTAGATCATCTAAGCCATTTTCACCCACTAATTCCCACATTACCATGCATGCTTTGCAACGTCCAGTTAGAGACTTGTCATTACATTACAGTAGGTATTATCTAAGGCCCAAAGGAAACACCACTGGGGTCTGAACAAATCTGCATCATTCAGTTCTGTGTTTTTTGCATGAATTCAAGCTTAAATTATCTTTAACACACTTTTATTAATTTTGTTTTTGATTCATAGCTTTCAGGGCAAGACTTATTTTAATTTAAATAAACCCAATTAATTTTATTTACAATTTCTTTCTTTTATAAGGAAATAAATGGTTCCAATTTTTATTCAACTATAAAAAAATGCTTCATCAAATCAACTAAATCAACACAATCCAGTAAAATCATCAGGCTGTGACCAAATAGTCTGGTCCAAATAAAAAAAACAAACACTAAGGGTTTATTTCACAATACAGTCAGAATCTAATCTGATCCTGATTAAGAATTTTAAAGTAAATATAGAAATAACCAAATCCTGGTTTGCTGTGCATAACCTTCTAACTACAGTGCTCCTAGGGTATTGTTGTGAATTTATGTTCCACTTCCATCCAGGTTGGATGCCATATTAACGCCCCAACATATTTTGTAAATTTAAATTTGAAAAATATGCAATCAAAAGATGAAACTTTGAAAAGTAAAATATGAATTAAAATAATAACTTGATTGTAACTTTCTTAATACCTTTTTTTTTTATTGTGTTTATTAAAATTTCAGTTTTTTTAGATTTTATTTCTACCAATATTATATTTTAGTTTTGTACTTAAACTTTCCTTTCTTCAGAATAAGTTTTACAATATTGTATTGTTTTTAAATAGATATTCAGAGATGACATTCTCTTCACTTTAAGCTCAATACAAATAAACGCTCTCTGTGCACATTGACCAATATAATGACGTAACGACCAAACGAACTGCATCTTCCCCCTCCTTCCTAAACCAAACAGAGGAGAGACAAATATGATCTGCAAAACGCAGTTCGAAAAACATGTAGTTCCCAAAACTCATTTTGAAAATAAGGGAACATATATATATATATATATATATATAAAATCTAAAAAAAAAACAAATATCAATCCTTAAACATTTTATATATATATATATATATATATATATATATATATATATATATATATATATATATATATATATATATAATATAAAAAAAAAATAAACAAATATCAATCCTCAAACATTTTTCTTCTTTTTTTAAATTTCCATTTACAAAACATGTTCTTATCTTGTATCAATAATAGAATAAAATTTCCTCCATACTAGGTCTGAGCGATTCACCAAATATGTTGTTATATGGAATTTGCTGTTCTTAAAGTTTTAACTTTTAGGACCATCTTAGGCTTCCGTAGTTCAAATTGACATCCCCTTTTGTTTTTCATGTAAACTCAGTGCTGATTAAGTAGCTCATTGTCTCACACTGTTAGCTTCAAACTTTTTATTTGATATATTTCCCATGTTTACAAGCCTGTCCTACAGCTTTTATTTAGTTTAACTTGAAATTCAAGTTGTTTCCCAGAAGCTTTTTTGTAATTCGTCATTGTTTTCATGAACTAAAGGGAGAAAAAACTCTGTTAATCGGATTTTTTATATGAAATCCACAGTATTGTCTAGATCTGGATCCTTCCTTCCAAACCATTATTTTGTATTTGTCTCCCTACCACTTAATGATTCATACTGCGCTGTAGTAGTTGTACCGTTACGCTCCTAGCGAACACTAAAAACCTTTTCCACCTGTCTGTCTAATTGTGTGGCTTCATGTCACAATTGCGGTGATGCTTATAGCGCCTTTCACTGCTGTTTATTTTGCATGCTTTGGTTTTAATTGCTATTTAAACAAACTCTTTGCTTTAAAGGGCTTCCATCGGTCTCTAATTATTGTTTTGTAGACAGCGTAGATGCTAGCCTATACTTTGAAGATCCTGTATGCTTGTGGAGCTCGATGCTTCTAACTGGTTGTTGCGCTCCTGGACATTTCCTCAGGTCAAATCAGGAAATACAGACCTACGCCATCGCGCTCATCAACGCCCTTTTCCTGAAAGCACCAGAGGACAGACGGCAGGCAAGTGAACTACTGGGCCCTTTAGAAAAAAAATGGCCGACTCTAACTGCACACCATAGTTATGTCATCATTCTTCATCCCAAAACAGTCGCCTACACGTACATCACTTTCACTGATTTCAGATCATCAAACCAACAGACTTTTAGTTTGGTAGTAGCTCCTTCATTAGGTAGTACCAACACCTACATCTAAATTAAAGTATATATTTAAATAAGTTGCCCAAATATAGAGCGAAACATTAAAAATTCCAAATAATCTGAAAGGAATAAAATTATATTTATATTTACTTCACCATATATTTTATAAGTCATATAGATGCATAAGTAAAGGAAGCAAATCTGTTTCATATATACTAACTGATTTTGGTTAAAGAAAGACAATTGAAATGTTTTGCTTAATTTTTATATTGGTAATTTATGAAGGTTAAATCTGTCTCCATGGAGTTTGCAAGCTATCCCTGTTCATTGGTGGGTTCCCTCCGGGTACTCCAGCTTTCTCCAACAATGCAAAAATATGTCTACTTGGATACCTCGCTTAAATTATTCATAGGTATGGCTATGTTCACACTGCAGGAAATTGTCACCCAAATCCAAAGTGTTTTTACCCATAAGCGACTCATATCCGACTTTGCCGTGGTAGTAAGAACGACCCAATAATGATCTTTCACTTCACAAAAAAATCTGAATTGTGCCACTTCCATAAGTGGTGCTAAATCGGATATGTATCAGTATCGCTCTCACCTGCGTGTATCAGCGCAGTGGCCACCAGAGCATGTGAACGGAGGGATTCCCGCTCCCCACTCAGGAGGATGTTCGCTCGTTTGCTCCGCCACTCAAAGTTGCGCTGAGTTGCTCCCGAGTGGTGCACGACTTTACACGAGTGAATAAAGTGAATGTGATTGGTCGTTTATCAAGAGGGCGTGATTTTTGTGGGAAAGGTTCGCAAGCAAGTTTGGTTGTGGCCAGTTTCTTGGAAGCATCTTGCTAACCAGTTAGCAACTTAGTGCTAGTAGGTTCCCAATGGGAAATTCCATTGGGACCAAGTAGCACTAAATTGGTGACTTAGAAACGACACTGTCAAGGAACGCTATGGACAGAGGAAACATGCAAGAGAAGGAGAGTTTAGTGTTGGAGGTCGTGGATGAGTCTCCTCCGTCATCCATTTTTTATTTAGAGGAGGAAAGCTGGACGAAGATGTTGTGGAAGAGGACGCCAGGGCGGCAGAAGCTTGGTTTGGTGTAGAAGGCTTCCAGCCGTACATGTTTGAGCCCTTGCATCGCAACGCTGCCAGTTCTGTTAGCTCTACGCCTGCTGAAGACACAGACGTCCATCCCCGTGAACACTGGGACGGAACTCAATGGGAGAGTTGGGCTACATTCACACTGCAGGACTTGATGCTCAATTCCGATTTTTTTGTGAAATCCCTTTTTTTTTGCGTTGCCGTTCATATTTCCAAATATATGCGACTTGTATGTGATCTCCTGTGTGAACTGCATTCACACAGGAGGTGTCCCGCATGCACAGTAGAGGATGCAACGACGTCACACGCCAGCGTGCTCTGTGTTTACGGAAGTAAGCATGGATGGTAGTGGATGGTTAGATGGTTAAACATAAATACTGCTCTCCGCATCATCATCTGTCATGGTTGTTGTTTTTCTTGCTGCTTCTTTGACCTTTGTCGGGTATAAATGGCGTTCAGGTTGGATGAATACGATCTGGCCGTTCAGACACAGGTCGCATTTGAAAAGATCAGATTCGTATCGGATTCTGGACCACATAGCAAAATGGCCTGGGTTGCATTGTAAAAAATCGGATCTGTGTTGTTAAGACAACCATGAAAAGATCAGATACAGGTCGCATATGGGCCAAAAAATCAGATTTGGGTCACTTCAGGCTACAGTTTGAACATAGCCTAAATGATTCGTATTTCTGTTCAACCGTTGCGTATATTAGCTGCGAAAAATTTGATTGACAGATGACCGTTTATATATGATTGGCAGAATTTAGGCGTTCAGGCTGACGTATAACTAACTGGCCTGCATAAGATAATAAAAAAACAACAACACAGATTTTAAGACAGGATTTTTTTTTTATTTTAAAAAAATTTTCAAAATTGACATGGTCTGATAAAGAGTACAATTATATGCATGTTTAAGCCAGAATGATTTGACATTTAGTTATGACTTTAATATTTGCATGAATACTTTATGAAAAGGACCCTGCTGTGTAGCCCCCTCACTGTGGCTACTGCTGGTGGATCAGAGCAACGTCTCTCTGGGTTATTCTAAAAGTTGGTATTATAAGGAAAGAGAGGGACGTCCCCCTCCCCACATGGAGGCAAGTTAAAAAAAAAAAGTAGGTGGTGGTTTATTTAGCAAAGAGGCAAATATATGAATAGATATAAGAATATATTAAATATATCTATATATCTCTATACCACAAAATCACATTATAAATATCTGTGCTCTTTTTTTCTTACCTTTGTTGATAATGTCGGCTTCCATCGTTCAACAGCTTTTAATATCAAAGATGCTTTATTTTAGTTAAAAAAAAATCACAATTGAGCATCCAGACCTGCAGTGTGAACATAGCCTTAGAGTGTGTCTGCATGCTTGTTTGTTCCGTGTGTCTCTATGTTACCCTGAGATGGACTCGGGGACCTGTCCAGGGTTCGCTGCTTGGCATAGGTCTGCAATCTCTGACTGCTTTTCTAGTTTCAGTTCTGCTTTCTATTTTGTAAATAAAAAAGGACATTTCTTTATAACAGACAGAAAAATCCATTCAGAGTTTTTCATTATCCGAGTCTGGACGTGGTCACTAATTTCACAAGAGCACCAAATCTGACAGGCTGCAGAAATCACCAGTAAGCCGGGGAGGCAGAGGATGTTGAGGAGATGTTGTTTTTGAGTAAGAAACTTCACCACCTTCCCTGTTGTTGATAAAAGGGCACCAATTATAAGAAAGCTCGCCTTCTGTCAGTCTGCCCTACGGCAGCTGGGGCTAAGATGTAGCTCATCAAGGTGTGTGTGGATGGGTGAAGGCATTTTGGAGTCCATGGTCTTAGAACTATAAGCATCATTGACTCCATTTTCATCAAAAAAACTCCTTTTTTTGCAGAATATTTATATCTGATTTCTGTGGATAAAAAAACCAAGACATTTTATTCTGGGCTAAAGCTTAAACGGTAGCCTGTTAAATTTGTTATTCTTGTGATTTAAATAACCACATTCAGACTTGGAAAAGAAAAAAAAAATTAATATCTGTTTTAAAGTGTAAAAAAAAAAAAAAAGTCTAACATTTTTATTTAATTTATCCCTGTCTAGCAGAGGAAAAGTAAACTCCTTGTATTTTAAAATCATTTGATTCTAAAACAAAGATAAAATAGCCACTCATTTTTTGTTTTTTTGCTAAAGTGTAGTTTCTAAAAAGAACATTTAAGACTGAAAGATCCTTGTATAATTCGATTATTTGTATTTCAGTTTGATATCAAAAATGAAAACGAAATCCAAAAAACTATTTGTTTTTTGGATTTCGTTTTATAAAATAGTAGTTTTAGATAACCTTTCCCCACTACTTTAGATATGATTAGAATGATGGAAATCACGTCAGTTTATTTTATAAACTTCGAGGTAACGATATCTTTTTGAGCCACAAGCGGCTAGAAAATAAGAAAGGAAAATCACAGGAAAGAACATTCAAGAGCAGGTTAGAAAGTTTTTACAGACATAAACCTGTCAATTTAGAAATCATAACAGTAACAGTTAATAGCATCAGCTTTTTCCGTTTCCATCTGTATTGTTGCATTTAAAAAAAAAAAATTAATAGCCACTTGTTATTTTTATCACCAAAAGATGCTGTCTTTGTTGCACAAACCCAAATACCAACCTTTACATCAGCTTTAAATTCTTCCTTAAACATTTTTTAAACCTGTGTGTGCAAAAAGAACAGAAACTCTTAAGGCTTGAATATTTATACATTTTAATTATGGTGAAATTCCTATAAAAAAAAAAAAAAAAACAAGTCATAGGATGAATGCCATGTCTGCAGGATGCTCCAGCAGCAATATCAGCTTCCTTCTTTCTAATACACCTGATTCATCTTCTTATGTCACTGCATGCTTGTGAAGTTCGGATCTCACTGTCTGTGTGTTTGCACCTTTTGTTTCCATTGCCTTCATACCCCACCTCCCTGCACCCCACTCATAGGTGGAGTATACTAACCCTCTGGAGCAGCACCTCACTGTGAGTAAACGTCCTCTCTGCAGCTCACTCTGCTCCCACATCCCTCCTCCTCCTTCTTCCTCTTCACTTCCTAGCTTTTTCTGTGTCACAGCCAGCCTCTGCATAATCTTTTCGCATGGAAATGGAACCACAGCTTGTTGCTGCAGCATGCAGAACCATTTTATACTTCCTTTATGCTAATTCTGCAGACCCACCTCATTCAAACCCCTTTATAGAAACTCAGCTGTCGGTTATTTTAATATTGTTTGGCTACATTTCTGGGAGGTTAATTCTCAGCTGCTTTGCTTTGTTGTAAATTGTTTATTTTTCTTCTGATTAATTTGTTGTTATCTTGTGTGTTTCCTCAGGAAATGGCGAGCAGTTTGGCTCAGAAACACCTGCGGTCCATCATTCTTAACGTAAGTATCAACCTCAGTTAGAATAAACACAAATCAAGCCGTTTTACAGCTATCCATTTGTCTCAAGATCCTCTCTGTGACTAAAAGTTAGTTAGTTACTGGAAACTTTTAAGCTCCACTCACTCAGAAAGAAGAGAGTCCTAACCAGTAAATGTGATATGGCACCGAGTCCATGAAGCGAAACAGGATTGGCTCTGAAAATGATTTTTATTTGCACTTGTCAGAAAAGATCCGCTTGAACTGGCTGCAAATGTCTTCGAGAAGAACACGCTTCATTTTCCTCGAGCAGCTCAAACTTTCCTTCCTACAGAAATCTGCCCACATCTTTATAATGAGCATTACTTACCTGAAAAGTTGCGCTGTTTCCCTCCAAACCCTGTACCACTCCATGTTTGAATAGAATGAACACAAAAATACCTCCTTTTTTTTTTTTAGAAAATATTAATATTTCCTTGGCAACATTTTTCACACTACATGAAATGTTTCACTTTAATTAGCCCCTCCAATATTTAATGTACTTTGTAAATTCTCAATTGGATATAGGTGTGTACTTGGACTAGGACAATTTGTGTAAGAACGACCAACAAGAACTTAAATTAGGTGAAATAAGATAAAATGTCTGTCCATTATCAACATTAGCTAAGTAGTTTAGCCTAAAAAGCAAAGAAGACTCTAAAATACCAAATTAAATGTTTTACCTTCATTTATTTCATGCTTTTCTTTCCTGTTATATCTTTTTTTTTTTAAATGTCAATAGCTAGAAATAATGTACGGATCTTGTTTATTTTGAAGGCCTGCTGAGGTGATCTGCAAGGCTATAACTTTATAAATTTTATATATAAATTGTAGGGTTTTTTTTGTCAACTCTCAGTCCTTTTCTAACTTTAATTTAGAGATTTCTGTATTAATTGATTTGTTCTGTGTAGAAAGATTTGTTGTTGTGACATTAAAATCATAATTATGAGATTAAAAGAGAAAAAATAAAAAATAATATATATATATATATATATATATATATATATATATATATTTATTTATTTTTTTATTTATTAATTTTTTTTTCCTCGTGGCCTTAATCCTCATCTGCACACGCTTCTTTTGTAACATTTATATTTTCTTGGAGCTTATTATCTTTCCCTTTTCTGGCTGCTCGCTCTGTGTGAGAAGAAGTCCAAAGCTGCTGCTGTTTTTCTGCTGAGTCTAGAAAAGTTTTGCCCTGTAAAAGTTATCATCATTATGTTTCGATCATCATGTGGTAAAGGATTAAAAGTAAATTAATCACAGTTAATGCCTCTATTGGATCAGGGTTCAGTATGTGCTCCACCGCTGGGGAGCTTCTGATATAAATTGTTGTCTTGCTGGAAGGATAAACTCTGCTATAATCTTCAATCAGTTTCACTCTGTAACAGGTTTTCCTCCATGATTGCTCTATATTTAGCTCCATCCTTCTCCCCATCGACTCTCATCACCTTCCTTTCCCTGCTCAGGAAAAGCTCCAGGCTTGCTGAAGCCTTCAGGTTTCATGATGGGGATGTTGTACCCTGGAGAATTTCTACAACCTCTGCAGTGTTTTGCATGTTGGTTAAAAAACAAACATTTCCCTGCCTTTCAACCAGAGCTCCTTGTTCCACATGTTTGATGTGTTTCCTAAAGGATATAATCAAATTGAGATCTAATTATGCAGCACTATACTTTATTAGCTAATTTGGCCGCATGAAAACAATAAGTTACAGTTGATTCTATTTAGGAGTTTTAAAGAGAACAATGAAATAGGGCTGCAACTTATGATTATTTTGCAAATTAATTTATCTGTCGATAATATTTTTTTTAATTTATTGATTAATAATCGTATAGCCAAAGATTCTTTAAAGGAGACTTTTTTTTACAAAATTAAACCACTTGAGTTCTGGGTAGAGCTTATTGACAGATGCAAAATGTTTCTGTATTTTTTTACAATCTTGATATAAGCGGGTAACTCTGTCAGCTGCAGGCATGTTTTAGAGTCTCTATACTCCAGTTAAGGATTAATCGATTACTGAATTAGTTGACCATTGAAAAAAAAAGCACCATTAATCTGAATAAATGTTTCTGTCCAATAATCAAACAAAGTGATCTGTAAAGATTTCCACTTTAAATGTAGATCATACTTTATCCTTGTTTATGTCATTAAACCCAATAAAACATAAATACATTTAATAATGTGTAACAAAAACTTTTTGTCTTTATTCATTTAACACAGCAGGCACAATAAATCCTTAAAATATAATTATTTACTTTTTTGAAAAAAAAAAAAAACTATAATGCGGTTTCGTGTAAAATTATATTGAGCCTTTTTTTCTTATGGAAATATCATTTTGATATGAGGGAAAAGTGAGTTTTTTTAGAAAATGGCCACTTATTAATGAATCCCTATAGTCGATCAATAAAATCGGACAACTTTGATCAATTAGAATTAAAATAACTTTCATCTGTATTCAGCATACTCTATATATATTTATATGTATATCTATCTATCCATACACGTATATTTATATAAAAGGTTCTAGATAATCCTTTTAAAAATATTAATTGCTCACCCTTAAGAGTCTTGCCTTTGCTACAATGCTGCCTCTCCCAATGTGCCACCCTTTCATGATGTCACTGGGTTAGGCTCCTCTTTAGAAAACCTAACTGCATAAACTGCGACACACATGCAGACGACCTGGTTTTGTGAACATAAAACAGCCTTAACACCTTTCGGTCCCTAAGAAACACGTTTTTGCGACTTAAAGATTAATAAAAAAACAGTTGCTGTCACCGTGCAGATTAGATGCTAAAAAAGTAACTCTGTGTGACCATGCTCTGCCTCACATCACCCCTCATTGATCTTAGAAAGAGGGCTTCATTTTTACTGGGCAGTTGCGATGCAGTCAAGGTAGTTGCTTCCTAGAGGGAGTGAGTAATGAGAGCTGTACATAGGATGATGGTGGCCATTAATTTTCCAAAACGATTCATGGGGATCAAGCAAAATACGACTTTGGGCCTGATTTGGGCAAAGCAATAGAATTAAACATAGTTAAAAGCTCAAAGGGTTAATATCTGAATGATGTATTCCAATGACTAAAGAACAGTATTTCGATTTTGTTTTTCAGCACATCATCAGAGGAAATCGACCGATCAAAGCAGAGATGGCACATCAGCTGTACGTGCTGCAGGTGTTGACCTTCAACCTCTTAGAAGAAAGAATGATGACCAAAATGGATCCCAATGACCAGGTGAGATTTTAAAACGAAATATTTATGCTTCATATCCGTCACATCATTTATAGTCTTCCTGAAATCAAAGCAGGAATGAATGAATGTTTTTCTAAAAGAAAAGATAGCATGTAGGCTATCTGCCTTTAAATGTTAAATTAGAAACCACGGTTAACGAAATGGGAGCATGCTGTGAAGGTTTAATAGAGATAAGCTATTATGAGGGTAGAGCACACTTTGATAAATCTGCTTTAAGTGTAATCAGCAGAGCAGAAAATGAAGCCTTTCCTGTTTTTGCCAGTACTTGCTGCAACCCATCTGCTCATCGCTGATTGACCCATCTACTCTCTGGCTTCTCTCTTGGCTCTATCATGGTAAACGTTCCCCTCTTTATGCTGATAAGCTATTAACAGTGTTGTATTTTGCCTTCCCAGGCTCAGAGGGACATCATTTTTGAGTTGCGTAGAATCGCCTTTGACGGAGACACTGATCCCACCGGTACAGAGAAGAGGAAAGCATTATACACCAAGGACTACAAGATGCTAGGATTCACTGTGAGCTTATATAGCACATTGTATTGTTTTAAATCAAAGAATAAAAAAGGAGATGATTAATCAGATTTAAACTTAATAATAAAAGTGTTTTGTTTTTTTCCCTTACCTGAAACGCAGAACCACTTGAACCCGGCTATGGATTTTACCCAGACTCCCCCTGGGATGCTAGCTCTTGATAACATGCTGTATCTGGCCAGGGTTCATCAGGATACTTACATCAGGGTAAGTGCCGGTATCAGGCATGACTAAAGGAGCTAAAAGGGCTGGACGTACCTTAACTCACCTTCCTGCTTGCGACAGATCGTCCTGGAGAACAGCAGTCGGGAGGACAAGCATGAGTGTCCCTTCGGCCGCTGTGCGATTGAACTCACTCGAATACTGTGTGAAATACTCCAGGTTGGAGAGCTGCGTGAGTAACTTTGTTTATCTACCACTGTGTGGTGAAAGTAAGAACACAAGCTTTAAAGTTGTAGGGAAATCATATTTAAATGTCAAATCATTCTGGCTAAAACATGTATTTAAATCTACGATATTGTCCCAAAATTTAGAAAATTTCTTTAAAAAAAAAATCCTGTCTTAAAATCTGTGTTTTTTTTTCCATTATCTTCTGCAGGTCAGTTATTTATACGTCAGCCTGAACACCTTAATATGGCCAATCATATATCAACGGTCATCTGTCTATCAATTTTTTTCGGTCATAGCATCTTGATTCATATGTTGCAGCTGATATACGCAACGGTTGAAATAAGAAATAAGAATCATTTCCTTTCCCATTGAGTTCCGTCCCAGTGTTCGCAGGGATGGAGGTCTGTGTCTTCAGCAGGTGTAGAGCTAACAGAACTGGCAGCGTTGCGAGGCGTCCTCTTCCACAACATCGTCATCTTCACTTTCCTCCTCTAAATAAAAAATGTCTGATGGAGGAGACTCATCCACGACCTCCGACACTAAACTCTCCTCCTCTTGCATGTTTCCTCTGTCCATAGCGTTCCTTGACAGTGTCGTTTCTAAGTCACCAATTTAGTTCTACTTGGTCCCAATGTGATTTCCCATTGGGAACCTACTAGCAATAAGTTGCTAACTGGTTAGCAAGATGCTTCCAACAAACTGGCCACAACCAAAAATGCTTGCAAACCTTCCGCCACAACAATCCCGCCCACTTGATAAACGACCAATCACATTCACTTTATTCAGTCGTGTAAAGTCGTGCACCACTCGGGAGAATTCGGAAATGCAACAGTTGGAACGGCCGCTTCCCTACGACTTTAAAGGTCCCGCTCTAACTTTTAAAATATGGGCCGGCCTGCGTCCAAACTGAGCCGTAACCTGATCCCTAACAGTGAAGTCGGGGTTGGATCCATAGCACCAGAGTCACACAGCTGTCACTCTATGTGCCACCAAATATTAAAGGAAAATTCCGGTTTTTAACACTTTTAGCCCATTTTCTGTAATGTCCAGGATGAAATCGAATGATCGACACCAACATTTTGACAATTGGTCCTGTCTCTGCTATTTGGCTCATGCAGAATCCCCCCCTGGCTGCTTCAGAATGGCTTCCATAGTGCATGTCCGATAATGTCCTTAAAACAACCTTAAACGTTCTTTTTTTAAAATATGCTACTCACCGGGTCGTCAGCGCTGTTCAATGACGTTCCAAAAAAGGTTTCGTAAAGAAAAAACGTTCCTGTAGTGTTTTATTTAGCATTTTGTAAATCCCATTGAGTTCTGTTGGAATAGTCAATATCCCTCCGCCACCGGAAACGGAAATGGGGCCTGTTTACGCTTAGTTGTAGTCTTTTCGCAAGGCCCAAGTGTTTCTGCTTCACTCTGTGTACTCCGACGTCGAGGTGCTAACGTCTCTGTTAAACACTTTAAAAAACTCTGAAAATGGAATACGAAAGGTGGATTCTTGAGGAGGACATATTGGACTTTGAGTTTGACGGTAGAGGATACCGTCGCCAACTAGTGGTCTGGAGTGTGCAACGCTTCAGATTCGAACGGGAAGCGGAAGTTTATAAGCGGTTGTGATGTATCGGAAAAAATAGTTCTGGGATTTACAAAATGCTAAATAAAACACTACAGGAACGGTTTTTCTTCACGAAACTTTTTTTGGAACGTCATTGAACAGCGCTGACGACCCGGTGAGTAGCATATTTTAAAAAAAGAATGTTTAAGGTTGTTTTAAGGACATTATCGGACATGCACTATGGAAGCCATTCTGAAGCAGCCAGGGGGGGATTCTGCATGAGCCAAATAGCAGAGACAGGACCAATTGTCAAAATTTTGGTGTCGATCATTCGATTTCATCCTGGACACTACAGAAAATGGGCTAAAAGTGTTAAAAACCGGAATTTTCCTTTAATCCTAAAAGAACGTAAGAAATACAAGCATTTTTATTTAAAACAGGTAAACCACTAAATCACACATTTGAAACGGTCTTAAGAACTAATCAATGGATGGATCATTATCTATACTTAAAACCAATACATTAATACATTTGCTGTGATTTAATGAATGTAGCGTTGATCAGGAAAAAAATAAAAACAATAATTTTGGTCACGAACACTGAGTCTGGGAGCAGCCATTTTTTCCCAAATATAATAACAACTCCCTCCTGACATCTCCCGGCAGTGACGTCACGGTGCGGTAAGCCTAGCGCCATTCTCCCCGCTTTACAAGCAAAATCAATGGGAGCTACTAGACACATCTGCAATCAACAACAATTATTGAAGATTTCCAGAGGACTTCACCATTGAAATTCCCCAGAGCTATAGTGAAACTGACAATGCCCACGTGCATGGCAGCTGGATGTTGGAATATGGTAAAAGGGGAAAAAAATAAAAATAGTTATTCCACCTTTCCGATTCCTGATCCTCCACGGACGGGTTCGTCGTTGGATCGCCAACTTGAAGAGGGAGGATTTGCCATCGAACTTCTGACAAGAGAAAAAACACGTAATATGTAGCCAAAGCCAGTTCTTTGACAAACATGGATGCTTCCAGTAAAGCACATTCAAATGAAATTGACTCTTTATTAAAAACACTTATCATTTATTTAACAGTAATGTTATTTTTAAAGTATGTTCAGAAGTGTGAAAAAATTAAGACAATACATGGGCACATTTACATCCTAATTGCACGGTTAGAAATAAAGGAACAATGAGAGAGCCATATAACAGAAAGTTTGTATGCTTTTTCCTTTGGGTTTAATCCAAAAATCTATTGTAAACTAGTTATTTAAATATTTTCCTAAAAGTTAGACAAAGCCATTTTTCACACTTTGCTGATGGTGCCGTTCAATTACATAAATTAAATCAGAGACACCCGAGCACAAGGATGATGTAGAAAGAGCAAGGAGCTGCTGTGTGCAACCAGAGCTGGTGGAGAAAAGTCTGTCAGAGTTTAGCGCACAGCAGACATGTACTGAGCATGCACGAGATTTAAAAGCTGCAGACCCGTCTCACTGCGAACCACCTCCTAAATCTTCTACTAGTTCATAGTACTGGACCGTTCCAGCTTCCTTTCACTCCTAGGAATAGCGCTATAAATTAGATAACAGTTCATAAAGTTGAATAAAATTCTATTATTCTTTCGAAAAGAATAATTTCCTTACATTTCTTTGTGCCAAATTCAACACTGACTATTTTTCCAATGGATTGCAATAGTTTGTTTTTGTTTTTTGCTTCTTTTTTGGTGTGTATAAGGTCACAAATCCATCATATATGGTTTATCCATTAGGTTTCCAAAAGGTCACCAATGTTTTCAAATCCAGCGTCTTTCATGACAGACAGAGATCGAAACTCAAAAGAACAAAATTCTGCAGCTTGGCTGTACTGTTCTGGAACTCTCTACCACTCTTACTTAGAAAAAAGGAATCAGTTCTCCATTTCAAAACATACCTCAAAACTCATCTGTTTAAAATTGCCTATTCTCTCTAATATTAATCTCCCTGTCCCAGCCTTTGTATGTTTTATTGATTTTATTCTGTGTTTTGACTTTGTTTCTCTCCTTGTGTTTTTATCTTTTGTACGGTGACCTTGAGGGTCCAGAAAGGTGCCTTTGAAAGAAAATATATTATTATTATTATTATTACCATCTTCAGCCCTCCTGTTTTCTCCTGAAAGTCCTGCTCTCTCTCGCTGTCTCTGAGCCTGGGGGAACCAGACACGTGCCTTTCAGAAAATATTTCCTAACACATTGATAGGATGAAAAGCGGATGCCTCTTAGGCTACGTTCACACTGCAGCCTGAAGTGACCCAATTCCGATTTTTTTGCCCATATGTGACCTGTATCTGATCTTTTTATGACACTCTGAACGACACAGATCGGATTTTTTCAAATGCGACCCAGGCCACTTGGATATGTGGTCCTGAATCCGATACGTATCTGATCTTTTCAAATGCGACCTGTGTCTGTACGGCCAGGTAGCATTCATCCGACCTACACGTCATTGATACTTGACAAATGTTACTAAACGTTACTAATCTGCGTCCTACTAAGAGGAGGCGGGAAAAACGAACAACCATGGCGGAAGATAACACGGAGAGCAGTCAATGGAGAGAAAGTGAGGTTGCTGACTTAATTCATATTTGGAAAGATAGCTCGATTCAGACCAAACTCGAAGGGTCTTACCGGAACCGGGGGATATTTGAAAACATTTCCCGAGAAATGGCCGACCGGGGATACAAACACTCCTGGATCTAATGCCAACGGAAAATCAAGAGCCTCCGGGCCAAACTTAAAGAACGCAATATACGCTGCGGTATTACGAGTCATGTTTACTTCCGCAAACACTGAGGACGCTTGCTACATGTGACGTCATCGCGTCCTCGAGTGCGCATGTGGGACACTTCGGTTGAACGCTTTCAGTTCACACAGTAGATCACATACAAGTCGCATATACTTGGAAGTGTGAACGGACACGCAAAAAAATCCGATTTCACAAAAAAATCGGAATTGAGCATTAAAGCTGCAGTCTGTAACATTGAGGAGAGAGCAGACTTCGACTGAAAATTTGAAGAAAAACAGGTTTCACGCCACTCCCCCACCCTCTCTGCTTCACTTATGCCCTACCTCCAAGCTCCACCCCTCTCACAGCATCTGCGCGGCTACCGCATGCGACCAGAAGGTGGGGGGGGCGGGATTCAGCGCGTGTGAGCTGTGATTGACACTCCATCAGACGCTCCTCTGGCTGTGATTGGTTGTTTTTACTCGTCCCGAATTATTCTTTCCAGATTGAAATACAGGCAGTAGGCGGGACCAATTGAAGCAGTTTTTTTCACAGGTTACATATCACATGTACTGCTGTCTGGGCATAGGGACAGTTTTAGCCAATATGACAAAAAAGTGATTTTAAAAAACTTACAGACTTCAGCTTTAAGGCCTGCAGTGTGAACGTAGCCTTAGAAACAACTCATTTTAGCCTGACCTTTTTAGTGCTTTCACCGACAAAAAAAGATGCATCTTTGTTTTTCCTACAGATAAGGACTCTCTTTTGCTTATTACAAATAATTTCTAATTAATTAATTAACTTCACTGCTGACCTAAAATGTTGTCCGTTTCACTGCAGGGGTTCGTGCACCAGAGTGAGAATACTGTATGATAATAGACTGCTGATAATGTATGTACTGATTATCAGGGGTTATTGATGGGTACTTATTTGGAAACATTTTTCTTTGCTTAGCTAACGAGGGCTGCAACGATTATCACCCCATGTTCTTCACGCATGACCGAGCGTGGGAGGAGTTCTTCTGCGTCTGCATCCAGCTGCTTAATAAAACATGGAAGGAGATGAGAGCCACAGCTGAGGACTTCAACAAGGTCTGATATTGCATAACCCTTACATTCATGTTCAGATGCTCATGTTACCACGTGGTTTTTCTTTCGTGCCATCATTCTCTTTTTTACATAAGCCTTTCAAAGCCAACCTCAAAACATAGAGGAACATAAATGGACTCAAAAAGCAGATGGAAACTTTTCCAAACAAACAAATTTGTGGTATTCTTCCGTTTATGTTAATTGTCTGCTAATTTTGGAGGGTGGGAAAAATGACCACCTTTGGCTGGCATTTACTTCGAACGGTTGAGTGGAGGTTTGAAGAGGACCCAAATGCAGAGATGGAAGCTGAAGTGGTTTGCAGATTTATTGTTGATCCAAATGAGACAGAGGCAAATTCCAAAACAAATTCCAGAAAAAAGAAAAATCCAGGAGATGTTAGGGAAAACAAACACGAGGGGCAAAGAAATGACAACGAGGAACCAGCAAACAGTGACTGAACAGGAGGTGTATATATGGGATGCAGATACAAAGACCAGGCTAATCAGCGGACTGGGAGCAGGTGCGGACAGAGGAGTCTAGAAGGGAGCTAGGGGACAGGAGACTGAACCAAGAGGGCAACAGAGGGCAGACAAGAGATGCATCCAGAAAACGCCACAAAATGGGAGTTAAATCAATAAAACTAAAAAACACAGAAAAACACGTATCAAAGTGAAACTGAAAACTCAAAAAGAAAACTCAAAAAGAATCAAAAAGTGCAGAATCCTGACACCTTTGAATTGTCTATTTAGTGAATTTTGTTTTGTTATTGTAGCAAGCAAGAAACACATTTTATCAATTAAAATAGGAAAAAATACAGTTCCAATACTGAAACTTTCAAAAGGTTTTTAATCAGAAAGTAAGTTTGCTGTTTTCTCTGATTTTATTTACATTTTTTTCCCAATTTATTTTTCATACTATTGTATGTTCTTTCTTTGAAATTTTTTTTTTTTCTCAGAATGAATTTTGCAAATTGCATTTTCTTCTAATTTAATTTGCTGGTGCCACCTCTGGGGGCGGGGCATCTTTTGGTAATTAGGAGCAAAGACTCATTTCTATTGGTCTGCATAAAGTTTAGACATACAAAACATAAACCAGTCTGAAAACTCTGATAAGCAGAAACTTGGAAAGAAAATAAAATCTGTAATGATTTTATTAATAAAATGTAAAAAGATAACATCTGTAAAAAAAAACAACAACAACAAAAAAAAAACTTTAAAGTAAATGTGATTTTTTTTCTCAAAAGTAAAGTCTGAAAAAAAACCCAGCATATTTACTCTTAACCTTTTTTTGTTTTATTTAATTTTTTTAAATAAGTGTTTTTCAAAGTTTCATATCCAGACAGTTACAGTTTTCTCGAATAATAATGTACGAAATATGTTCTTTGCTTGCAACAATAATGGAACAAAATTTACTCCATAAATATCCACCTCTGCTTTTTTGTTTGGCTGCAATTCCAAAAAGTGTTCACGCCTCATGCTTTTCATAAAGCTGTAACATAAATATTTGTATGTTAAACCAAAGCAGAGGCAAATAAATCTACAAGCAGATCAAATTCAGCTTGTCTCTGGCTGTGCTGTAAGAGTCTAAAATCCTGTACTTCTGCAGCAGCTGCAGTTGTCTCAGCGTCCTCTAATTGCTGGAGCTCAGTATGACCAAAGGGGACCGTTCTGGACGACTTCAACCTCAGGATGGTCACCTTTGCGTAGCTGTTTCCAACCCAGGCCAACTTTGACATCTGTGCACGGCTCACGCTGAGCAATTACATGATAACACTGCTGGATCTCATGCCGGCCAGCAATGTGACCCCTATCAAACCCAATCAAGTGCTGATAAAGCGGTCTAATTCGTCTGTGAGGGATCCTCAGAGCCCAGTGACCTTCACTCACAGTTTTTAATGACTGTTGACTCTGAAACTGGGCTCATAACGGTATGCATTCACGCATAAACCATCCACTTATACCTATTTTATTTTCACTGCAAAGAGAATCATTTACATTGCTGGTCTCTGTTTATAAAAGACTACAACTAAACTAGGCTGTTGCTTCTGTGGGATTCATTTTTGGGCAGTAGGTGATTAATGAATCTTTTCTTTTTGTCGCATCATCAAAATTTGGAAGCTTTAGAAAAATTTAGGCAATGTTTTGAGAACAAATATTAAATTTAGATTAAAGTACTGATTAAACACTCTTTAAGGCAGTGGTCTTCAATGTTTTCCAGGCAAGGGACCCCCACACCGATGGCTAGATGAAAAGGGGAACCCCCTAATTATTTATATTGTATGAAATTGTGTTACATCAAACTGGTCCTACAGTCACTCTATTACAGATGGAGTAATTTAATGAAAGTAATTTCTCCCTGGGATTATTAAAGTATTTCTGATTCTGGTTCTTGGTTGATGGGACAGGTGTTGTAAATGAAACGGTGCCCAGCTTGAAAGAGCTCCTGTGTTTTTCTGAATGTGTGCATTGATCTTCTGCCTCCATTTCTCTGTTTACTACAGTGTGTTGAATTCATGTTAATGTTTATTTAAGGACATTTCAATAAGTGGAAAAAATTGCAGGGGGGAAAGTAAAATAATTCTAATTAATCAAAACTTTCGTGACCCCCATGCAGTACCTCTGTGGACCCCCTAGGGGTCGCGGACCCCCTGTTGAAGACCTCCGCTTTAAGGCATTCCTTAAAAGATAAGGAAGAAGCAAGTTTTCATATGGCTCCTTTTGAAGATGAAGATCATAAAGTGTCTTAACAGTAAAATAAACAATAAAGCAATAAAATCACTCTATGAAACTAATGCTTAGATAAATTATTGATTGGTGTTTCTATATACTTTTAACAATATAATTTTTTTTCCTTGGGTATGAATATGCTCTGTTAACCCGTCTTCATACTGTCTCAGACACGAGAACCTGTGTCCAAACCTGGACAGAACAATGGTTCCTACAGTGGGGTGTGCTCCCCCTAGGGGTGCGTAGTGTTATTGCAGGCGGGGCATGGTAGAACGAAACTGATTAAATAACTTATTTTTTTTAAATACAGATGTCTATGTTAAATTTGTTACAAAGCTAAATAAATGGTTAATAACTTTATTTTAAAAGAGGTAGTTTTTGTGTTTTAGAGGAGATTGTCATTTATTTTAATGAAATACAGTTTAGTGCAATTTACTTTTTTTTTTTTAAAAGATTAGTAGAGAGGGGGAGTGAAAACTTTCTTTAAAATCAAAGGGGGAGCCCACCAAGAAACCACTTATTCAAAGTAAAACTTTAAAAAATCCAAAACATTAGAGGACATAGCTGGGGGGGAGGGGGGGTGTCAATTAATTAATTTATCTAAAGTTAATTGATTCCATCAAACGACTAAGGATTCATTGATTAGCATCAATTTGTTTCACCCTATCAAGAAGAACTTTCCATAACATAAAGGCAAAAACTTTTCTCACTATATATTTTAATACTTTATTTTGGCAACTGTATTAAATATTGACTGGATTAACAAAAATTTTTTTTTTTCAACATTATTAAACTTATTTATAAGGTAAGACAGAACAGGAACAAAATTGGTTAATAAATAAAGATGAAATGTACACTAACAGAGATCATTTAAAGACAGGGTGTGTCTCTCTGACATACTGCTAGGCTATGTGTAACTTTTTTCTTGGTGGGGTTGGGGTTTTAAAGCCCAAATGCAGAGGCCAGGAGGCAGAGGAGAGTTCTTGAAGATTTAATTGAATAACTGAGGCAAAAATCCAAAAACTATTGATGTTATAAGATGAGCCGAGGCTTTGAGGAGTGTGTTGAGTAACGGAGGGGGCGTTTCCCCGAACCGCATGTCGAGGCGTGATTTACTGCCCAGGCGAGTTTTGGTCCCCTGTAATGGGATGGGGGTTTTGATGATAGCGGGAAGGAATCAACTCTGTTGCTGCATTCTAGGTTTTTGAGAACTGAAACCTGAGTCCATCCCCTCTGTTTAAGGTTGGTTCTCCTCTCTTAACATAAGTGGCTTCTTCACACCCTTTTTAAACTGAAATGTGAACATTATGGTCCTCAAAAGAATGTCCTTTGTCCATAAGGTTTCGATGTACCACTAAATCTTGTCCGGAGGAGGTCACTCTTCTGAGTTGGTCCATGCATTTGTGGAGAGGTTGTTTTATTTCTCCAATATAAAGATCAGAGCATTCCTCACTGCATTGAACTGCAGACACAACTCCGCTCATCTTAGGTCTGGGGATTTTGTCTTTAGGATGCACCAGTCTCTGTTTAAGGGTCTTGTTTGGTTTGAAATCTACTGGGATTTTGTGTTTGCAGAAAATCCTCTAGAGTTTTTCAGAGATTCCAGCAACATATGGAATGGCTGGGATGGCCTTAATCTGGTAGTTAAAGGAGAATTCCGGTTTTTAACACTTTTAGCCCATTTTCTGTAGTGTCCAGGATGAAATCGAATGATCGACACCAAAATTTTGACAATTGGTCCTGTCTCTGCTATTTGGCTCATGCAGAATCCCCCCCTGGCTGCTTCAGAATGGCTTCCATAGTGCATGTCCGATAATGTCCTTAAAACAACCTTAAACGTTCTTTTTTTAAAATATGCTACTCACCGGGTCGTCAGCGCTGTTCAATGACGTTCCAAAAAAAGTTTCGTAAAGAAAAAAAACGTTCCTGTAGTGTTTTATTTAGCATTTTGTAAATCCCATTGAGTTCTGTTGGAATAGTCAATATCCCTCCGCCACCGGAAACGGAAATGGGGCCTGTTTACACTTAGTTGTAGTCTTTTCGCTTCACTCTGTGTACTCCGACGTCGAGGTGCTAACGTCTCTGTTAAACACTTTAAAAAACTCTGAAAATGGAATACGAAAGGTGGATTCTTGATTCTCGACGTCGGAGTACACAGAGTGAAGCGAAAAGACTACAACTGTGTAAACAGGCCCCATTTCCGTTTCCGGTGGCAGCGGAATATTGACTATTCCAACAGAACTCAATGGGATTTACAAAATGCTAAATAAAACACTACAGGAACGTTTTTTCTTTACGAAACGTTTTTTGGAACGTCATTGAACAGCGCTGACGACCCGGTGAGTAGCATATTTTAAAAAAAGAACGTTTAAGGTTGTTTTAAGGACATTATCGGACATGCACTATGGAAGCCATTCTGAAGCAGCCAGGGGGGGATTCTAAATGAGCCAAAAAGCAGAGACAGGACCAATTGTCAAAATTTTGGTGTCGATCATTCGATTTCATCCTGGACACTACAGAAAATGGGCTAAAAGTGTTAAAAACCGGAATTCTCCTTTAACTCTTTCATGCATGTGTTCCATGTGTTTCATACAGAAACATATGGAACCACCAGTTTCAGTATGATCATGTTTTATTCAAGTTAAAGTTATTCAAATTGACTAAATTAGTTTAACAGAATCCAACATATAAAAAAACTAGAGTTCAATAAATTGGCATTTGAACAAGTCTTAGGTTTTTATTGCATTAGCCCTCATCTTTAATTATGTGTGCTTATGTGTTAACCTTCCACAGGTGATGCAGGTGGTCCGGGAACAGATCACCAGGGCTCTAGCGATGAAGCCGTCCTCTATAGACCAGCTGAAGAACAAGCTGCGATGCCTCAACTATTCTGAGATACTGCGTCTGCGGCAGTCAGAGAGAATGAGCCAGGATGACTTCCAGTCTCCTCCCATCATGTGCGTCACAACTTTTATCTCGTTATATATTGGTGTTTGAAATTTTGCCAAATTCTTTATCTAATAGTTTGACTTAGGGCTGGGCGATATGACCTCAACTCAATATCACAATAAATTGGGCAGTTTTACCTCGACAATGATAAATGCACGATCAGAAATAAAGGGATGTGCAGGAAATGCACCTCTCTTGTAAACATTTCTGTGCAAAGTTAACAGAGGCATTTGCACATCTTTGAACACAACAGCGTGGTTGGGCTGTAGGTGGTGGAGGTTAGATTTGTTACTTTGGGTAGTCCCAACAGCTTTCAACTTTGCATATCGTGTTCTTTTGCTTAAAGGAAAATTCCGGTTTTTAACACTTTTAGCCCATTTTCTGTAGTGTCCAGGATGAAATCGAATGATCGACACCAAAATTTTGACAATTGGTCCTGTCTCTGCTATTTGGCTCATGCAGAATCCCCCCCGGCTGCTTCAGAATGGCTTCCATAGAGCATGTCCGATAATGTCCTTAAAACAACCTTAAACGTTCTTTTTTTAAAATATGCTACTCACCGGGTCGTCAGCGCTGTTCAATGACGTTCCAAAAAAAGTTTCGTAAAGAAAAAACGTTCCTGTAGTGTTTTATTTAGCATTTTGTAAATCCCATTGAGTTCTGTTGGAATAGTCAATATCCCTCCGCCACCGGAAACGGAAATGGGGCCTGTTTACGCTTAGTTGTAGTCTTTTCGCAAGGCCCAAGTGTTTCTGCTTCACTCTGTGTACTCCGACGTCGAGGTGCTAACGTCTCTGTTAAACACTTTAAAAAACTCTGAAAATGGAATACGAAAGGTGGATTCTTGAGGAGGACATATTGGACTTTGAGTTTGGCGGTAGAGGATACCGTCGCCAACTAGTGGTCTGGAGTGTGCAACGCTTCAGATTCGAACGGGAAGTGGAAGTTTATAAGCGGTTGTGATGTATCGGAAAAAATAGTTCTGGGATTTACAAAATGCTAAATAAAACAAGACAGGAACGGTTTTTCTTCACGAAACTTTTTTTGGAACGTCATTGAACAGCGCTGACGACCCGGTGAGTAGCATATTTTAAAAAAAGAATGTTTAAGGTTGTTTTAAGGACATTATCGGACATGCACTATGGAAGCCATTCTGAAGCAGCCAGGGGGGGATTCTGCATGAGCCAAAAAGCAGAGACAGGACCAATTGTCAAAATTTTGGTGTCGATCATTCGATTTCATCCTGGACACTACAGAAAATGGGCTAAAAGTGTTAAAAACCGGAATTTTCCTTTAACATCTACGGCATAATTTTGGTGCCTCTGATCTGACCATGCAGCGAGAACAATGTGCATCGTTTAAACACGCACACCCCCGCTCAAAACCGGTCTGCCGAGCACTCAACTCCAATGCGCTCTTTACTTCTTCTCTGCGCGCTCAGCGTCATCTCTGCTCTCACTCGGCTCTTCAGGATTAATTAATGTAATTTTGTTTACAGCTGTGTTAGACACTTCTTCACTGGGCTCATCCGCCTTTCTATTTGTTTACGCTTCTGACTGTATCAGTGGAGGGAGGTGATTCCCCGTATCTTGTGTGTTAAAAAGAAAAGAAAATACCAGCGACCAGCGTATAGAGCTAGATCGGTCTCAGTTTTCAAAAATTTGCATATGTGATCCATAAATTCACAGGACAAGATACACACACACATGTTGTGTCACAATATCCTTGTGGGGACCTTCCATTGACTTCCATTCATTTCCCACTAATTTATATGGCCTAACCGTGACCTTTGCCCTAACCCTAACCATTACCGACACATACCTATCCCTAAACCTAACCTAAACTCAATTCACACCTTAGTCCTACACCTAACCCCCACCCCAAGAAGAGAAACTTTCCTTATGGGGACCAGTTGTTGGTCCCCACAAGTACCTATGAGTCCCCAAAATGTAGCATATTCCTAGGAAATTGTCCCCACCAGGTATTAAAGACATGGCCACACAGCACACTTCACTCAAGCACACAAGATCCACACATGCACAGAACAAGAGTCACTAAAGTATTTCTGGTCCATAAACAATTATAAAATAAATAAACAGTCCCACTGGTCTTTAAACTTCATTGGATTTTTGTGTGGATTTTTGAGACTCCCCTGACGTGCCTCGATACACAAATGCATTTTTTTTAACCAGGGGATGGTTTCCCACCAATCAAAAGAAACTACTCCATGTGGGATGACACCACCAGATCCCAGGACTTATTTAGTAGATACATTCATTCCAAAAAAGTTTAAAAACAAACCACTGGACATTGTTTCCAAGTTTGAAAACGTTTCGCTTCCCATCCAGGAAGCTTTTTTTAATTAAAAATGTCAGAATTAGTGTTGAGTCAGAAGCTTTAATGAGTGGCTCAAAACAGATCCCACATCCTCGGTATCAGGCAGATACGGAGGATGTGGGATCTGGTATCATCTTGTGTGTTTGTGTCAATTGTTCTGTGCGTGTTTGAATCTTGTCCTCTGCGTGTTGGATTTTTTTGTGCTTGCATGAATCCTACTGTGCATGTGTGGATCTTGTCGTCCTGTGCATGTATGAATCACATATGTGTATCACATATTGTGAAAATTGAGACCGATCTAGTTCCATACCAGCGCACCCAGGCAGAACAGCAGAATTTTTTACAGAATTTACCGACATGGAAAAATTTGCTCTGTTTATCGTAGTGAGTGATAGTAATGGTAAAAATCTGGTTTAACGCCCAGCCCCACAGTATGTAGTTGGGGCTTCACATCAAATCGACGTGTTTTTATTCATGTCTTTTATGTTTTTTATTCCTGTGTTGTATTTGCACTTTGTTTCCTCATGTATAAGTTTATTCCCCTGTTCCTTCTTCTGTGTTGGGCTGCAGAGAGCTACGGGAGAGAATTCAACCCGAAATCTTAGAGCTCATCAAGCAGCAGCGGCTCAACCGGTTGTGTGAGGGAAGCTGCTTCCGTAAACTGGGGAACCGTCGAAGGCAAGGTGAATACAGGACAAACTGCTGCAACCTGCTAGCATTAAAGGAGAAGCCCGGTCAGCAAGAAAGAATCAATGGATCATTATCAATACCTAAAACTAATAAATTTGCGGTGATAAAATGAATTTAGCGTTATTCAGTAAATAAAATAATAACAATCGTTATCATCGTGATCACTGAGTCTGGGAGCGCCCATTCTATATATAGTCTATATATAGAAGAATGTTTTCAAGATGACTTGGATAATAGCGCGTTGTGACAAACACCAGATACAGCACTGGGACTTGATCAACAGCCGATACCGCACCGTGACGTCACAAACCTGTAGGTGGCAGTAGTGTTCTTTGACAAACATGGATGCCTCCAGTAAAGCACATTTAAATGAAAATTACTCCTAATTAAAAACACATAATTTATTGAACAGTATGTAATATTTTTTTTTTTTGTGTTTACAGAAGTTTGAATTCTGAATATAACCGGACTTCTCTTTTAAGGACCTTCATCACAGATCTGCTCACCAGCTCTTCTATTTTGTAATCTTCAATGCAATACGTCTTAAAGGAATAGTACACCCAAAACATGATTAGCCTTCATTTTCTACTCACCCCCATGCTGAACAACACTCTGGAGTACTTTTTTGATATCTCAAATGCATCTGGAGATCTGGGAGGCTTCTTGCTGTCTGCTGACATTCAAATAATGGAGGTCTATGGCGCCCGAGGCAGAAAGGTCCATAAAAGTCCACAAAAAACGTGTCAATATTCCTCCATACTGCTCGTCCAATGTATTCCAAGTGTCCTGAGTGGGTAGCATCCAGAATTTACTCAAAACGAAGTCATTTAGAATGTTTTTAGAGCATAAACAGTAGTGTATACGATTTCCTAAAAGCGCGTTCACGAGTCTACGGAAACCGCGGCAGACCAAACCAGATGAAAGTGCGCATTCAGCTCGGCAAAGAACTCATGCTCTTCCTCAACACTGAAGTCCTCAGACATTTTTCTTTCATTGTTTCTTTCTTTGCACAGGTAAACAGCACATTTCTTCTTCTACGCTTGCATTATCGGCAGAGCAGACGCTGAATGCGCACTTTCATCTGGTTTGGTCTGCCGCGGTTTCCGTAGCGTCGTTAACGCGCTTTTAGGAAATCCTATACACTACTGTTTATGCTCTAAAAACATTCTAAATCACTTCGTTTCGAGTAAATTATGGATGCTACCCACTCAGGACACTTGGAATACATTGGACGAGCAGTATGGAGGAATATTGACACGTTTTTTGTGGACTTTTATGGACCTTTCTGTCTCGGGCACCATAGACCTCCATTATTTGAATGTCAGCAGACAGCAAGAAGCCTCCCAGATCTCAAGATGCATTTGAGATATCAAAAAAGTACTCCAGAGTTTTGTTCAGCATGGGGGTGAGTAGAAAATGAAGGCTAATCATGTTTTGGGTGTACTATTCCTTCAACATCTCTGATATTGATTTCCCAGGTTATTTAATTTCTCAACACACATTTTTTTAAATTAATCAATTCTGTTGCACATATCAATTAAAAGGAGTAATAACATGCTATTTTATTCAATCAATCATTTTTAAATTAATTGCAAATTCATTTTCTATCACTTTTTGGAGAAACAAAAATCAACATTTATTTAGACCCCTTTTAATAAGCGCTTTATTTCTTACAACGTTCCTTACAAGAACTTGACTAGTGTCCTTTTTTGTCACAATACCAGAGCCAGGTTGTAACAGTCCTCCAACCAATTCAATTCATTTTAATTAAGTTTATTTCTATAGTGCCAACACATGTCATCTCAAAGCACTTTACAGTTCACCAGATCATCCAATCAAATTGATTCAAAGTTTTCTATCTAAGGAAAACACACTAAACATGCTTGTAGCGACAGTGGAGAGGAAAAACTCCCTTTTAACATGAAGAAGCCTCCAGCAGAACCAGGCTCAGTGTGAGACAGAAGCAGATAGCAGCCAAAAAATAGTCCTAACTGACATCAAGGTCTGACAATAGCACTGGGATGTTTTACAATTGTTGAAATGGTCTAACCAAACACATGGATAATTTTTCTAGCTTAAAAATCTTTGACCCCCATACCATACTGTAACTGGTCGGTTACCGACCGTCACTCAGGGCAGGAGGCTTGGTGACGTAGGGAAACTGTTGCAGCACAGCAGCTGCAGAGGGTGAACATTTCACACAACTTCATGTCAAAAAACCTGAACTATCCCTTTAAGACTGCCATCAGCTCACAGAGGCAGGTGAGCCAACTAAGCAACTTTTCCCCTATATTTAGATACCTTTTCAGACCCGTCACAACATTTTTTCAGAACAGTAACTAGGGATAAATCTAGTGACCATTTCCTGTCTTGTTGTGGACTTTGGTGACAACGTGCAAGCAAGTGGGTTTAGTTTCTTCAGCGAGAAGCGGGAGAGTTAGCCCCTCCCTCCTGCAAACCACAGTCAGACGCTGAAGCTGCGACTCTCCTCCGTTTCCCAACTGAAAATGAGCCACATGTACACAAAGCTTCTCTGTCAGGAGGTGCCTGGCTGTTTGTTTCCTGGAAGGGGCCGCCTTTTACAGTTGCCTTTTGTATCTCTGCCTTCTGTCTCCTTTGCTGGTCCTTGGCTGGCCCTTCGATGGTCCCCTACAATTCCTTTTGAAATGTTAATATTTGTAAAATATTCTTTCTTTCATGATTTGTGGAAATTAAGATCTAAAGAGAAGCACCATCTCCTGGTCAGACCTTGTAATTCAGTGAAAAGGTGGAGTCAGAGTAAATAAACACTCCATTGGCTGTAAGTTGGAGGAGATTTCACTGGGAGTTGCAGAGAAGTGGGCTGCAATTAGGCTGGTGTTTGACTGGGAAGGGCCATTTTGAATGGCTGCTACTGTACCTGTGACATATTTGGGGCCTCATGTATGTTAGAAATGTTCAGAATGAGCTTGGAGAGAAGTTTACATGTTTGTATTTTAAAAGAAACTGGTCACAGGAACATTTATTACACATTTAGCAGAATTGTAACTTCAACACGTTTTAGCAACACAATATATTCTTCACTTGCTGCTAAAAACCCCTGAACTGTTCCACTGTGACAAAACATTTACAATTATTCTGTTGTGTTGTTTTTTTTGTAGAGAAGTTCTGGTTCTGCCGATTATCTCTTAACCACAAAGTTCTGCACTATGGGGATTTGGAGGAGTCACCTCAGGGTGAAGTGCCTTTTGAGCTGCTAAGTGACAAGAGTAAGATGCACTATGTTGTGGTGATTCTCTTACATCCGGATCAAAGAACAAACCTCTCTACTTATTATTTTCTTTCCTCTTTCTTTAGTTCCTGTCTCAGACATCAAGTCTGTGTTAACAGGAAAGGACTGCCCTCATATGAAAGAGAAAAGTGCTCTGAAACAAAACAAGGTGCATTTCTGTCTGTTCTCTCATGTCTTTTGCTCACTGCTGCTGCTGTTGTTGTGGCTGAATTTGTTCGGTTGTTTCAGGAGGTGCTGGAGTTGGCCTTCTCTGTCCTCTACGATCCGGATGAGACCCTTAATTTTGTTGCACCAAACAAATACGAGGTAAGTCGATATTTCTAAGCTCTGACTTTTTGCTGAAGTGTTTTCAGTCTCAGTGGTAAAAAGAGTGAATTCAGCTCTAGCCTGTTTTCATAGTCTGCCTTTATCTAATGGCCTTGGCTGGATGCAGTAATGTTTGGAATTGGACCCTTTACCTGATCCCCTGGGTGTAATCCCCTTTAGAGCCACTGGGGTCATTGAATTTGGCTGTCACTCACCAAAGCTCCTCTGTGTGTGTTATATGTGTGTGTCCATATGTGCAGTATTGCATCTGGACCGACGGGCTGTGTGCGCTGCTGGGCAGAGAGATGGGCAGTGACCTGACACGCAGCGACCTAGATACCCTCATCAGCATGGAGATGAAGCTCCGCCTCCTCGACCTTGAGAACATCACCATCCCAGAAGCCCCGCCTCCAGTGCCAAAGGAGCCTAGCTCTTATAACTTCACCTACAACTACAGCTGAGTCATATGTATACTTCAGAGTGTGCTCGAAAGCCATGCATGTATATGTTGATTTAAGAATATATATGTTTACTCATCTTTTGATGAATTTAGCTGCTTATATTTATAACAGCTGATTTCTTTATCTTCTATCAAGAACTTAACACACGTTTATGAAGCAGAGTCAGATTTGAACAAAATGGGATCATAGATTAATGGTGAGGTCAAAGATTAAACTGCTAAACAGACGGGAACCCTGGTAGCATCTTCATATCATGTAATTAACATGTAGAAAATGGAACTTGCAGTAAAATAATGAAAGTGAAGCTAAATCAGACAGTGTGTAGTAGCCATGGAAACTGGAGATGAAAGGCCTTCTGTTGGAGCTTCAACCATGCTGCTTATCTATGGAGTGAATTTTGTTTAATTATTGCTGCATGCAAAGAACATGTTTATAAATGGAAACTAAAAAGAATAAATAAATACAGAAATAGATCTTAAAAAAAAAGTTTTATTTCTGCATTAAATAATAATTTCTCCCAAATGTTTTTTTTAACTTTCTTTAGAAAATTTTATGTTTTCAGTTTTTTCCATATTAAATATCAAATTAATTAAATAATTAAATAAAATTAATTAAAATCTCTTCAGTCCCTATTTGAAGCTTTCTATGGAGAGAGGAACAAAGATGCGTATGTTACACGTTTCAGCTTGGTTGAAACGATTGTAACGACTGATGTTTATTGATGCTTCTCCTTTCTTCTGAGTGGAAAACCTGTAAACAGGAAAAGCTTCAGTGAAGGAAGGAACAACCGCCATCTTCTTCCCCAAACTGTCTAGCCACATCTGGCGTTTCCTGCTCTTGGAGCTCCTTGTTAGCCTTCAACATGAACTTATTTTCTTCATCTAACTTATCCTCTGCTTCAGGAGGAGGTGGAACTAGAGGCGATGATTTACTGGTCAGTGCCGTACTCTAAGGGCTCCATAGGAGAGGGCCACCTCTCCTCATCCTCTTCCACATGGCCTGGCTTTTGGCCCCCGTTTGCATTTCTTTCCGCTATTTCTGCTTTCTCGTGTTTCTCCTTCTTTTTGTCTTTTTTTGCATCATATTCAGAGCTCAATTTTATTAAGTTTTCTTTTTATTGACTGTATAAATAAGTAATTCTAATCTCCTTCTTTATGGCTCATCACACACTCGCAACAACAAAGGTAGCTCCTGGCCATTTCATGCTTCTGACGCATAGCCTCTGCAACCGTCAACTCTGTCTCTGTGCGCGACCACAACCCCCGCGCACAGGTTCTGCAAAGCGCACCTCAAAAAAATCCTGACTACGCGTCAGACGGTCGCAAACCCGCACAGACCTCAAGCAGAAGTGTGCAGACAAAAAGCAGCTGTGATTGGTCCTTGCTATGCCTTTCCGGCTGTCTGTGGGGTCGTCCTTCTTGATTCGGTGCCGGGGTGCGCCATTTTTAAAATCTACAATGGAAAACTACGACAAAAGGTTCATCGAGGAGGTTTGGAAGTACAACCACTTGTACGATGCCTCAGACAAATTATATAAAGATGCCAAAGTCTTTGCCAAAACAAAGTTCTCGTGACAATCCGCCGAAATTCTCCCGAGTTCTCCAATATGCTCCGCCTTGCCCTTTAGCAGGAAACTGCTGTGCGTCCCTAGAAATTCAAGACTGATGGTGCAGAAGCATACCAGCAAAACTGGTTCGCGACCAGACCCAAGCGACATTTACCCCAGGCTCACACCGACTCCGGTCTTACCGTTGCGGTGCGGTGGGTGCGGCGCCGCAGTGATTCCAAGTCATTAAAAAGACGTAAACCTCTCTCACCGGCTGCTGAGCTGTCCGGCTGCGGTTACCGAGACACTCCGGCGCTGCAGAAAATTCCGCAAGAAAGCTATCCTTGCGGCGTGCCGGAGCCCTCCGCAACAAGCTCTCGCAAATCTCCTTATTTGGGCCGTGTTATCGTGTGAAGTTACGTGAACTCAAGTGAACTTCTGTTAAATCTCCGGACCTGTTGCCGGAGCCGCAGAGCCGCACCGCACCGTAGTCAAAAGGGCGGTGTGAGAGGGGGTGTGTGGGAGTTGCGGTCTCCGTCGGCTCGGTAACCGCACCGGAGCCAGTGTGAGCAAGGGGTTAATGTGTGCGGTTGCAGAAGTCTAATCTGCCCTTTAGTATCCAAAATAACCTGACTGAACAAACATTTTTTTTAAACACTGACTGCAAAATTTAAAGAATTAAAACAGAAGAGGGAAGAAAAAAAATCTTAACACCAAAACCCCAAAAGTTACTTAAAAATTGAGGGATTGCAAACATCGAGAGGTTGCAATTTTTTAATTACTGTATATATTAGTAATTAAAATCTCCCCCTTTATGGTGCATCACACCCTCCCCAACAAACAAAGGTGGCTCCTGATACTTAGTATCCAAAATATCCTGACTGAACAAACATTTTTTTTTTTCAAAACACTGACTGCAAAATGCAAGAATTGAAACAGAAGAGGGAAGAAAAAAAATCAAAAGCACAAAACTTAATAAATTGAGGACTTGCAAAGTTTTTAAAGTTTTCTGGGTATTCTGCACCACACAAGTTGTTCTGTCAGGGGGGACAATAGTGTGGTTTCTACCCACTCTTATTGTGACTGGATCATCATATGTCCTGGGAGGCACCTGGATGAAAATCACAATGGCCTCAACCTGCTACTCCTCTATTCTAAAAGCATCACGGAGGAGACTGATCACTGTGGTAACCGCCTCACCTGAGGACTCCTTCCTTTTGATGATCTTCTCAAGTACATTGGCTCCTAGAAGGGGCTGGGGCACACAGGCTCCTTTCTCTGACTGACAAGGAAAGGAGCCTGTATGATCAGGTTGGGGTCATTGTTTCCTGCTAAGTTGACAGTGAGCGCCACTCATCCACTGTACGGTATTGCATGGCCTTTAACTACATGGACACTGACTTCCTCCTCTAATAGTTCAGAAAGGGGTCTCACTGTATATTTTGAAATGAGTGGCAGTCCATTCTTGGTCGATTATACTCACTTGCAACCCTGAATCACATAAGGCTGTAATTGGGTAGCCACCAAGCAGGCATTTCAGCAGGCTTTTCTTTCCAACCAGGGGTGCTGTACAGGTGACTGTTCCCTGGCTGAGGGGTGTATGAGGCCGCTGATGTTGTCTTTGTTTGAGGCTTCTTGCTATCTGACTTGAAGGTTGATCTGCTTGGGACTGGAATTGCTCGCCGATCTCTAAGTGTCCCTCAACAGAGACCGAGTCCACTCACCCTACGGCTTGACTCACTTCAAACACCCAATCACTCTGTGCCCTCCTTCTCCTCATCTAAAGCAGTGGTTACACTCCTGTGAGTTCTCCTCAGTGAACCTAGGGAAGGGGTGGGCAATTCCAGTTCCTGGGGGCCGGTGTCCTGCAACTTTTAGATCCATCCTTGGTCCAACACACCTGAATCAAATGGCTGGGTGATCTCCTCAGTATGCAGTCAGTTCCTCCAGAGTCTTCTCAATCATCTAATTCAGAGGTCTTTAACAGGGGGTCCGCGACCCCTAGGGGGTCCACAGAGGTACTGCATGGGGTGCTGAACGTTTTGGTTGATTACTTTTTTTTATATTCTCCCTGCAATTTTTTCCACTAATTAAAATGTCTTTAAATCCACATTAACATGAATTCAACACACTGCAGTAAACAGATAAATGGAGGCAGAAGATGTCTTTCAGTCATCAATGGACACATTCAGCGACACACAGGAGCTCTTTCAAGCTGGGCACCGTTTCATTCACAACACCTGTCCCATCAACCAGGAATCACAATCAGAAATACTTTATTAATCCCAGGGATACATTACTTTGGTTAAATGACTCCATCTGTAATAGAGGGACTATAGGACCAGTTTGATAGAACACAATTTCAATTGTCATGATTTGTGGATGTTAAGATCTAAAGAGAAGCATCGTCTCCATGTCTGTAATTCAGTGAAAAGGTGGAGTCAGAAAAATATGCAAGAGGGGGTCACTCCAGTGGCTGGAAGGGGATTTCGCTGGGAGTTGTAGGGAAGTATTTCTGCCATTCGGCTGGCATTTGACTGGGAAGGGTCATTTTGAATGGCTGCTACTGTATGAAAAATTTCTGGAAAAAATTATTTTTCTATTTCCATTTAATTTAATCTAAAAAAAAATAACCTAAAATTTAGCCACAAAACCCAAAACCTTTTGATTAATTAAAAAGCTTATTTTTTCAAGTTTTATTCCTGGATTGCATTATTTTTCTTATTTCCATTTAGAAATGTTTTTTATCCTTCCAGCAATAACGGAACAAAATTCACTCCATGCTGATCCCTCCGGATCTACAGTACAATAAATCTCTGCACCTTCTCTACATTAAAGGAATAGTACACCCAAAACATGATTAGCCTTCATTTTCTACTCACCCCCATGCTGAACAACACTCTGGAGTACTTTTTTGATATCTCAAATGCATCTGGAGATCTGGGAGGCTTCTTGCTGTCTGCTGACATTCAAATAATGGAGGTCTATGGCGCCCGAGGCAGAAAGGTCCATAAAAGTCCACAAAAAACGTGTCAATATTCAGCGTCTGCTCTGCCGATAATGCAAGCGTAGAAGAAGAAATGTGCTGTTTACCTGTGCAAAGAAAGAAACAACGAAAGAAAAATGTCTGAGGACTTCAGTGTTGAGGAAGAGCATGAGTTCTTTGCCGAGCTGAATGCGCTGGTTTGGTCTGCCGCGGTTTCCGTAGACTCGTGAACTCGCATGCGCGCGCGTTTAGGAAGTCCTATACACTACTGTTTATGCTCTAAAAACATTCTAAATGACTTCGTTTCGAGTAAATTCTGGACGCTACCCACTCAGGACACTTGGAATACATTGGACGAGCAGTATGGAGGAATATTGACACGTTTTTTGTGGACTTTTATGGACCTTTCTGCCTCGGACACCATAGACCTCCATTATTTGAATGTCAGCAGACAGCAAGAAGCCTCCCAGATCTCCAGATGCATTTGAGATATCAAAAAAGTACTCCAGAGTGTTGTTCAGCATGGGGGTGAGTAGAAAATGAAGGCTAATCATGTTTTGGGTGTGCTATTCCTTTAACAGCCAAACCTGTCAACATTTAGCAGCTGTTCTTGGATCAGAGCTATGGAAGCGTAATGCATTCACCAAAGAAAAAAAAAACCTGACAGCTTATCTCATAATTACGAGATCAGTATCTCATAATTATGAGAAAAGATCTCATAATTACGAGATAATATCTCATAATTACGAGATCATTATCTCGTAATTATGAGATTTTTTCTCGTAATTATGAGATAAGCTGCCAGATTTTTTCTTTGGTGAATGCAATACGCTTCCGTACAGAGCTGGCTGTAAGCAGATACCAGAAATACCAGAACCCAGCTAAGCGTCCTCATCTGGCCTTACCTCTGATGTTACCCTATAACAGCCCTCCCTCTCACCTTGTTCTTGGCTGCTCTTCAGTGTCCACTCTAT